GCCTAAGCCTAAGCCTAAGCCTAAGCCTAAGCCTAAGCCTAAGCCTAAGCCTGAACCTTAAAAAAACCAATTTAACACTGAAAGTAGAAGATATCGGTGGGTGTTCACCATCCCTATTTTCAAAGCCTAAGCCTCGATATATGTATCTTACTTAGATGACACGTGTTTTTTTGAGACCAAACAGGTTTATTTTTCTGTAATTACCGAAGTGATACCTTTATGTACTCACTCTTCAAATGCTCGCTGGCCAGTGAATGTTTGCGTTCGCAGTCTTATGTAAGTAGAAAATCCTTTCTGTAAAAGTGCAGATATGACTGTATCATATTCATCCGGAAATTTTTTTCGTTTATTTCTTAGATGGAAAGGCTCTATATGGCGCTCTGTATGGAGAGAGCTTTGTGTATTTCTTATTCTGTTCTATTCTATACGACTCTTTTATAATGATGTCATACCATACCTAGATCCACATTCCAGAAAATCTTATAAGTTATATCCTAAAACTCTAACTTCTTTTAGTTTGTAATATTCAGAAAAACATTTAATAGACTCGCACGTGAGTTCAATGAGTATACGAAGTTGATTCCATTGACGTTCTTACTTGGATTCTACGTGTCAAACGTTGTTTCGAGGTTCTTGAAAAGTCGTTTTCTGACTTTATAACAAGCCTAAAATAGATAGATGGTGGAGACAGTTTGAAAGTTTATCATGGCCTGAAGATCTCATATCAATAGTCTGCCTCGTTCTTCCCTTTCAAGATACCATATCTTCCCAAGCTAGACATCAAATAGCCAGATATGCCAATTTAGCTGCAACAATCGCCTGGTGAGTAACTTCAAGTGTTTCTGAATCCTTTTTTAGGCGTGACATATCCTCGAAGGTAAGACTTCGATTCCCAGAACTTAGCAACCTAATTGACGCAGGATTGCTGACAGAACATGAGCTACAGGCGTTGCAATCTTATAAAGTACGAAGGTAATGCTTAACGAAGCTTAACTATCTTTTGTTAGGAAGACTCTCCGGGCATTATGTGGCTAACTCCCTTACACTGGGTGCAACAAATAATTGCAAGAGAAGTAAGATTTTTGATTCTATCTTGATATTATTATTTTAACAGGTTAGTTCGAATAGAGCGCAAGTTCAATATTTATCAAGTTTCTCAAATGAGCTGAAGAATTACCGAGTCTCCCTGCGCCGTCTCTATAGCCATGATTGGGTATGCTTACCTTTAGTATATACTCAGGTGAAGTCATATACTGATTGAAATCTCTTAACGGTGGTTTTGTAGGTTGCAGCTTTGGCCACTTATTCTTTTTTCTTCTTCTGCTTGTTCGGCCGACAGTTTTTGGATGATGATGAGGGAATAGATTTTCGCATCCCACTGTTCACTATTGTTCAGTTTCTCTTTTTTGTTGGCTGGTTCAAAGTAAGATATTCGGCTCGGTATATAAGCAAAGCAGTTTTAGGTTGGTCAAGATTTGATGAGGCCTTTTGGCCTTGACGATGATGATATTGAGTTGAACTACATACTTGATCGTAACTTGGTATCTTCATTTGCTATCATACATACGCTCCATCTCGCATCTCCACGTTTGTTTCAATTAAGTAACATTGTTAGTCCTTTTGATTCAGCAAACTTCGAAGAAGATTCTTATTGGACATACAGTCAGTCTGGAAAAAAACCGGAGAACAGCTCGTTATTATGGGGGCGGATAGATCTAACAAGAACTGCGCATAAGCATCCTCCAAAATCACATACTTATATTGACATAGATGATGATTCCATGAATTTCTTCAAATCTAAGTGCTACATGTCATCTCGACCAGACAAGTTGAAAACACCTTCTACTTTACCACTAATGAAACTCTTTTTAGATTCATGTATTGGTGATGATGGACTTTATTCAACTATTAGTTTCTTAAATGATTTCTTGTTTAATTATCTGAATTTAATTTATGCAAATGAGGGATAAATAAATAAAAACTATCACGGAGAAAACATTCCTTGCGCTGCCTTCAGATGTCGTTACAGACTCAATCCATGGTACATACTTCGAAACGCGCGTATAAACACCTAAATGTATTTATATTATACTAAGCTGGAGATGAGCTTGAAAACCAGGAAAAGTATTTTGATCTACTACTCCTCTCAGACCTCCTGCTCCAAAAGAGGTGATTCCTATTTGAACATCCCGCCCTAAGCTATCAACTACGAGTAGTGGTCCACCGCTATCACCCTCAAGAAATGGTGAGAATACAAATAATTATGATACCGGAGACGTTCCGTGTAGTAAGCTGCCTGCACAAACTTCTTTGTTCGATATACGTATAAGTCCTGCAGTAGCTGAATCCCAAGATGATCTGAAAAAACTCTTTGTTACTGTAGTTCAAGAGAAAAATCACAAGCAAGATGAATGAGATATTATAGGAACTTCTGTGGCCATGATGGAATTACTCAGTGTCAACACCGGACTCGTTAGGTTTTCTGAAGAATTCTCAAATGGTTAACTTGTTCATTACTTGACACTTACGAAAACGTAAGCCGAAACCTGTCACAATAGAAGTTGTTCCAGGTGCTAGGAAAGCATCATCATTTCTTGTTAAGCATATGGGCTTGACGACGTCATCTAACAGTTTTTTTGATGACTACAAAATATAACTCAAAAGTAGGTTCAACTAAACGAAACCTTAAGCAACGCAATATCGTTGGTGATCGAGAATGAATCATAAGCTGGGTGAACATACACATGTGTAGCTTTCGATGTTTTTCTTGGATTTTGTAAGGAGCGGACACCAGTTAAAATATAGATCGTTTCTGAGCGGCCACTGCAGACAAAAAACTTTTTTGGTAAGATGTTTGTAGAACCTGACACAATGAGCAGCTGTTAATATCCAATAATCGTCTAAAACAGTTCCTCCACATAACATTGCTTGACCATTTACATCATATATAAGTAGCACAGCTTGCCATGGGTATCGGCTGGATGCATTCAGTTAATCAACAAATGACCAAAAAAAAGAATTTCTACCTTGGCTCCAAGTGTTTGCCACCTATGATTCTGAGATACTTAGAAGAGGAAGAAGTTTCACAAAAATGAATAGCCTTTCCATAGAGAAACAAACCGAAGAGGATAATAAAAGTTTTCATCAAGTTGTCTCACTTGAGCAGGTTTATCAAAATGGATGCAAACAGGGAACATTGGAACAGTGGAATGATAACGATAACAGTTATCGCTATCCGTATAAAAACCTTCAAACACAGGATTGTCAAGTTCGAGGAACATTTAATAGATCCGTTGATATGATTAGCTTCGTATCAGATAGTTGAAAAGTTTATTCAACGTTTATGTAGAACAAATTACTTTATCTACGGTTTTGTTAGGGATTCACACAGATATTTCTAATTTTGGATCACTCAGAAGCCTACTGCATTCCATATTTTATTCATGATCGACTCTTGCTTCACTGGTTGAGAAACCTGAAAGCTTGTTTGAATTTTCCGTGTGAAGATAAAGTTCATACCCGTAAACTGCCACCCCTAACTTCATAAGAAGATGCCAATGATCTCATTCCTGATCGTGATATAGATCCAAATCGGGAAACGCTAAATTATTCAATACCCATATTTTTACACTCAATTGGTACGGTAGTTACTTCAATGAAGTTTCCAGGGATGTTATATTCTGATCCCTCTCGAATAACGGATGTCCTGATCGCTCTTCTACATGGCTTTCATTCTCCATCTCTTCTCTAATTACTTGCTCTACAACTGCTGAAGTATTCATAGCTGCAACAGTTTCAGAGCCAATGATATCCTTAACAGCTCATTGACATGAAATCTTAATTGTTATTCTTACTTTTTCTGTACAGGGTACCACTCCGATTCTCAATGTTCCATCCAGAACACTTGCATTCCTAGATAGAGCTTGTCTAGCGTGGATAGGACAGGAGTATTTTATATGGAGCCAATTTCCTTTTTTTGGAATCTGTAAAAAGATTTTCGGAGGTGAAAGCTCGTTACTGTACCTGATGGCTGACAACTTCCCCGTGGCGTGAAAAGTACTTCAGAACATTTGTAGTTTGGTCACTAGGAAAACCAAAAACAGTAACCCAAGTATCAGATGCCATATCGGGAGATATGGCAGAACCATTTGGTAGAGTAGTAGAAAGCCTAAAGAAATAAGGAAAAATATCAGAAAATTGAGATACTTTTGAGATGGTGTATGAAGGGAAACATTCATGGACCTTCGGGCCGCTTTTTTAACAGGTTCGACATCATCTTTTAAAGACCGCAATGGTGGACCTGTGTGATCACATATGTGTTAAAATACATACAGATGTGCCTACCATTCATTGCTGGACTTGAATAGTTGCTAATGTGGCTATGAGATTGTTTAACTGGGGGTACAGGAGAAGCAGTAATCACTCCTACTCTCGAACATTGCTCTTGCACCAAAGAAGGTGACCAGTGAACTGATTTAGCAGAGCTATTGGCTGATTCTGTTTCGAAAGTTCATAAGATTGTAAGAAATCTTAAGTTGTACCTTTGATATGACTCGGGATAGACGAATGCACAGCTGGAGATGCAAAAATATCAGTTGATGGAGCAGAGACATTTGATGTATTCAGAACTGAAAAAAATCTCCGAGTGAGACACTTATCCAATATCTACAAACACTGCGTAGCAGCAGACGAATTGATTCTTCTTTTACTCCCGAAGAGAAATCCGTTCTTCGTCTGATCTTCTGGTCTTCCGTGGAATCTATGAAAAGGCATTTGTGAAGATAAAAGTATGGGGGGGGGGAGGGAACAAACGATGTTTCTGTAGGGAAAGAAGATAAATTCATCGGGCTCTCAGAAGTATTGCTTTGGTTCGATGAAAACATGTTCCAACTGAAAAAAAGATATTACGAACTAAATAACTATGAAACAATGCAAATTTTAGAATTTTTTTGTCTGAACAACTGAAGATTTGAAAAAGTTGGACATGCTGTTACGCCCCCTTTTACGCGCCTCAGTTGCAAGAAGCAAAACTTCACCATAAGAATACTTTTCCCGGTAATTATGATATTACTTGTTGGATCATGAAATTTACAAGAGTTTTACTAATTTTTATTTTGAATTAGAGCGGAGGTGGCTCGAAAGTAGTATTCTAACCCGTTTTATTTTAAGGAACGCGAAAACATTTGCGCACTCCTTTTACGCTGCACGATATTTACAATTTGCTCTGAGTTCAATACCAGACTCTCTCTTGTCCTTTTCTGAAGTTTATTTGAAAAAAATTGTGTTATTATCAAATTTTCTTGAGTTCTTTATACTTTTCTTGAGAAGATCCCGGTTTCTTAGTACTTGAACTTAGGGATAACTGTTTTTCTTAGCGATGGTCGTAGAACCTGGAGTTAGTTGTAATTACTTATTTCGCTTTGTACTCACATGAAAAGAGCACAATAAATTTTCATCAACATTCATCATGGCCGCCGCATTATCAAACTGACCGCAATAATGAGGTGCTGAAAATATGGTAACGAGCTTTTTGTTACCGAAAAACTCATATCCATCTTGTACCACCTAAATCTTGTCTTAAACCTCTATTTTGATTCTGTCTCACCTGATGTGCTCTAGCTATCAAATCTATTTCTAAAGATTTCAATATTGATTGCAATGCATCAACACCAAATACAAATGAAACTCCTCTGCTACTCGGTGCCCAACCCTTAAGTGGTTATGGGGAGTGCAATAACTGTTAATCACCCGAACATACGTTTATAGCACCATCTGGGTCTGACCAAAGCAAGTCGAGTTGAACAGAAGGATTTACAGGTTCAGGCAAGCGGTTCAAGTTCCGTAACTGTTCTATACTTGTGAGATCGGGCGATATTCCTCCGTGCATGCAGAGAATCCTTTTGCTCACTAAGCCAGATAGTGGCAATGTTCCGAAAACGCTCTGGAGTTTTTGCTTCTAACGAATAGATATTTTAAAGAAAAATAACTTGGAAAGCAAGCCATATATGCGGAGACCCATATCTGCGATTGCATTCTTCAAAGAATCCATAAACTCTGTTGATCGCTGGGCATTCGTGATTACCCCGTAGCAAGAAAAAGTTGTTGGGATATTTAACCTGTGAAGACATGATCGTTTAAGCTTCTTTCCTGTTTTTTTTCTAAATATTGGAAAAGCATGAAACCTTGTAGCTGAGCAGTAAGGTTATGACTTCCAAGTTTTGATGCCCTCTGTCCACATAATCTCCTAAGAACAAGTAGTTCACTACAGGAGGGAATCCTCCGCGATTGAACAGCCTCAGCAAATCTGAAATGCATATTTCTTTTTCCGTTCTTTAGCTTTACCACTGTATTGTCCATGTATATCTCCACAAATTTTCACGGGAGATTCAATTTCGATTAAAGTTGGTTGAGAGGCTATAACATTCCTTAAAACCCTGGTTTTTGAAACAGCAAGCCTAATTGTAACCTCGCTATGTGGCAAAGCTGAAGAATGGTTTCCTCAGACACCGTGGCAACTAACGAGTTTCCGGGTGTTCCAACGTTTAGTAGTTTGCATATTAAATCATCAATATCAAACTTCTTCATTGTATGTCTCCCACGAGCACAGCCGTGTTCTTCGAATAAATGAATAAAATGAAACGGCATATTAGATTTGCAGACCGGGATTTATAACAGAATGACATGGGATTTTTTTAGTTTTTAATCGTATGTGTTTACTGTTTAAGTTGATAGTTTCGCCTTGCTATTTTCTTGTTTTGTATAATCATTGGAAATTGAAATATAGATTGTCACTTCCGACTCATACCAAACAAATAGGCGAGCACAATTGAACTCAATGGCGTTTTTCTGTGACCTCTTATGACGCTGACTGTGTAAAGGTCAAAAGAAACAATGGCTAATTGCTAAAAATGAACGATTGAATGTAGAACTTTTTTCAAGTGATGAAGAACATTTGTCGGTGTTAACTGATATGCTGAAACAGTTTTTCTTACTCAGCCCTTGTGCTCTCTTTGATTAATTCGACTGATTTATAAAAAATTTTCATTATAGAAATGAGTCGCAGAGACGACGAGGAGAGAGGAAGATCGGTAACAAGGAACCCTACAGATCTCTCAGCGTTTTATAGGTGTTATTTGGTTGTTCTCAATGCCTAACCTTTTGCTATTATAGGGAGAGATTTGGCAGTCATTCCCCAGAAGAGTACATGAATTTGCGTATTTCTGGGTTTGACGATCGTTTGGAAAGAGAGGAAATTAAAGAGATTCTAACTAATGAATTTCGTAAATTTTCGCCGTTCGAGGTCAGTTTTCTTTAATAATTTTTGAATTGAAATTTGCTTTTGCAGATTAAAGTAGTTAGAAATCCTGGAGATGATGAACGTCTTGCTTACGTCAACTTCGAGAAAAGAGATTGTGCAAGAAAAATTAGGTGAGTTTTCATGTATCTCTTCCTTATAATGTACTCAATTCATTTCTAGATATAATCTGATGGAAAGATTGAAAAAGTCTTTGGGGAAGCATGTTCTTTGCGATCCTGCAGGCATTTTACGAGACCAAGAGGGCAAGTACATTCCCGATCGGTTTAATAGAGCCCTACAGGTAATTAGTCGAATGTTGATCTTGAAATTTCCAACTGGGTTCTTCGTTCAGAATGATCGCAATGGTAATACTAGACGATCACCTGAAAGACGCAATAGTAGTCGTCCTAAAGAACCGCCAACTTGGAGATTGAAACAAGATGACTCGGATGCTACCAGAACATTGTTTGTTGGAAATATGCCAGCTGACATAACCGAGAGTGAAATAAGAAAAGTCGCTCAGTTTTGATGACAGTAAAGTGATACTGTTTTGCTTTCAGGTGTTCGGTCGTTACGGGAAAATAGAAGATATTGATATAAAAACTCCTGCTAATACAGATGCTGCCTATGCTTTTGTTATGTTCCAGGTCGGTTAGCTTCTACTTCTGTATAATTACTGAATTTCCTACAGAGCTTGGAGCAGGCTATGGATGCTAAGCATGGTGAGCACGATCGTTCCATTCGTCATGGTTGTGCTCGATGCAAAATTGGATATGGAAAGAGCCAGGTGATTTTTCAAATTTTAAAGCAATAATTCTGATTTCATCAGGCTTCACGGAGGCTATGGATCGGTAGTTTGGGTCCATGGGCGTCAGCTGAAATGCTATCTAAAGAGTTTGATAGATATGGAACAATAGAGAAAATCGACTATGAAGTTTATTATTTGTTTGATTTTTTTTGGAACTTTTCCTATTAAAGGAAGGCGCAGACATGGCTTACATACGTTATGCTGGAATTAGTTCAGCTCAAGATGCTTGTAAAGCTATGAAAAATTTTCCGTTAGGTGGACGTGATCGTTGTATAATGATTGATTATGCAAAGTCAGTGGTGGAGATTGCAGCTTTTTTTTAAACTAAGCCGTTTAAGGGATGATGCACCAAAGGAAGGAACTATTGGATCAGTGTTCGCTAGAAAAAGAAGGGCAACTAAATCACCTCCGGGCCCGGGACCAAGAACTCCACCTGGATCACCTAAACCTGCCGTTAAAAGCTTCCAAGAGCTGGATGATGATTACGCCATGACTTGGCAGGGACAAGTAAGATTTCGCAATTTGAGAAACTGTTTAATGTTTTTTTCAAGGTCTTATTGAAAAAAGCTGAATATAATGTTCGATTATATCGTATTGCTGGATCGGAAAAACTTTTGCAGAAATTATTAAGAGATGAAGATGGTAATGCTGTGAAACTTCATGTGACTCAAAGGTTTAGAACAGTTAACTAAAGGATATCGGAACCATTAACGTTTAGATTAGCTTTGGGTAGTCAAGAAGCACTGTTGGAAAGGTTGACAAACACATCTACCAAGCAAATTGCAATAATGATAGCAGTTGGAAAACAATTAGACGAATCTCGGCCACTCGTTCGTTATTTAACGGAGAAAGATGCAGCTGGTAAGATCATCTGAGGAGAGTGATTTCTTGATAATGTTAATTTAAGGCGTGGTTTCTATTACTGATGGTATTCTTTACATATTTCCGTACAGCGAGATGACACAACAAATGCTGTTTCACTTCTCACCTCATGTGAAAATACTAACAGAAGGATCGCCATACTTGTTATTTGTACTTGGGATGAAAGCTCCTTCTGAATCTTCTTCACCTCGCTGATCGAAGTTTTCTGTTCATGAACTTATTTATTACTTCCAAGCTTGTTGGTCTGATATTCTCTAGAATACGAAAATTCGTGCTATACAGTAATCTAGTTATTCGGCTATTTATTCATTCTATCTTGAAATTCATTCATGTTTCCTGTGGTGTTGCCTTGATATTCTGGTATTATTCTCTGACTAATAATAATTTAATAAACTAATCAAAAGGCTTTGTATACTTCTTGAACCACTCATTGTTTCTATATTCATTTCATGTTCTAATAATGTTCATATTAATTTATTTTATAATATGAGCGAAGGCTCAACCTGTATATTCAATGAAACTTACCTTCTTTATCATGGCTATTTCGTCGAAGCGTGCATTTCGCTAACTTCAATAATCTATTTTTCCACCAATTGAGGAAGGAATAAGTTTAATGTTCAGAAACACATGCCGATCCCGTGTTCATCTCTCGGATGTGAAGCTAATGCTCTGATAAAAAGAGCCAAAGATGGAATGGCAGTTTGCCATAATTGCTTCATAGCCCGATTTGAAGAAGTGAGGTAGATTTTGTTCTCGGGAATTCTCATACTTTAACAGGATGTCCATCAAACTATAATATCTACGAAACTCTTCCAACCTGGGGAGAGAGTTGCTATAGGGGCTTCCGGAGGAAAAGATTCAACTGTTCTAGCTTATGTAATGAAGGTTGGTGTGCGATCATTACGTTGAACATTTCTGTAGACTTTAAACGATAGATACAATTATGGGTTGGATCTCATTCTTCTTTCCATCGATGAAGGTATCAAAGGATATAGGGATGATTCACTGCAGGTTTTCGTTTTAAGATCAATGAATCATAATTTCAAATTCGACTTAGGCTGTTGAGCGAAATAGAATAGAATACGGTATTCCTTTAACTATTTTGAGCTACAAGGAATTATACGGATGGACCATGGACGACATTGTCGCTAAAATCGGTAAAAAAAACAACTGCACATTCTGTGGGGTGTTTAGACGCCAAGCTTTGGATAGGTATAGCTTTTCTGAGTATATGAGACTAACATTGATGCAGAGGTGCTTATAAAGTTGGAGCGAGAAAAATTGTGACAGGCCACAATGCTGATGATATGGCAGAAACTGTTCTTATGAATGTACTCCGAGGAGATATTGCTCGATTAGAGAGATGTACCAATATCTGTACTGGGGAAGATTCTCCCCTCCCTAGAGCTAAACCACTTAAGGTATTTAATACAATAACTCTTTGGAAAATGAAAACTTCACAGTATTGCTATGAGAAAGATATTGTCATGTACGCCCGAGCATTGAAATTGGATTATTTCTACACTGAGTGTATCTATGCACCAAACGCCTATCGAGGTTATGCAAGGTTCGTGGATTGACAACGTCTCTGAAATCTGGAAAATGTTAAGAGAATTTGTTAAAAATATGGAACGGGTTCGTCCAAAAGCTATTTTGGATCTGATCCAATCGGGTGAAGCTTTACAGATCAAGAAGGAAGTAGCAATGCCTACACTGATGAACTGCACAAGGTTTCTTTGGCTTCTATTTTTATCTATAACGTCGGATTTAGATGTAATTATATCACAAGTCAGAAGCTTTGCAAGGCTTGCCTTCTACTCGAAGGGTTAAATACAGGAAACACAGGCTTAGGTGTTAGAAAGGTTTTTGTTCTTTTATTAGTCTTGAAACATTCGTAACCACTGCAGAGTAAAAAGGAGCAAAGAGTAGCGACAGAATCCACAAACAAAACAGGATGCGAAGGAAGCTGTGCCTGTGCTACGACATCGCAAGTTGTTGATTTTTAATGTTTTAATGCTTAAAGCATTTCCTCGTTGTTCAATCTAATTGTTGACCGGTAATAAAAACAGTTTATTATATAAACTAGCGACAATTATTAACTAGCACATTATAATGCGGAAATATGGAAAAGTAATAGAAAGGCAAGTGATTTTCAATATACAACGGATCTTTTGTCTCTTTGCTTCCCTCTAACCTGGTTACGGTTCTTGGTATTCGCATCGTGAAAAGCGAGCTACAACTTATGATTTATAAATAAGCGCCTTAATCTGATTACTCACCCGAGAGAGCTTGTCTACTTTCTCCACTGTCTCTAGAATGGGTCCCAAATCGAAAATATCACGAAGTATTTCGTTCGAGGCGAGGTGATGCATCATTCCACCATGCAAGACCTAAAGAGAAAGATATGTGGAAACCAAGTTCTAACTTACTTCACAGCAAAGATCATAAATAACTTTACTTTCACAAGTATCGAGTACCAGGTTCTGTTTATTGAATTTTATCGTAATATTGGGAGCTTCATCATGAACAATATAAGCATGTATTTGCCTAAAAAATAAAATAGTATGATGAAATCTGATGAAACGAACCTGAAGGAATATCGGAGGGTTCTTCTTTCCTTTTTACTCTTTACTTTGGAAGACTCAGATGCCAATTCGTCCAAAACCTACAGATAAGGAGCATTTTATAAAAATCATCACTATTTCGTAACATTCTGAACTCACTTCGATCATTTGTCCATGGTTTGCAAATCGGTAATTAGGATTAGAGCCTTCTCTCATAAGCTCGTATATGAAAGCTATGGTCTCTCCAGCAGCTATCCTGTTCTCTACTTGGGTGGCTCCAAGGAACGATGTGAGCTTCGAATAATCCGACAAGGCAGCGCTTACTTCATTCAGATCAACTTCCTGGAAAGAAATGAGTTTAAAAAATTACAGAAGCAAAAAGTACCCGTAACATTAAAGCCCAACATGGCAAAGCCAACGTGAAAAGTGTAGTGTCTTGTGAGTTCAACTTCTTTGTACTCCAGCATTGTTTCAAAGCCTTTCAAATACAATCAGTGATTAATCAAAAGCAATAAAAAAAATACTTTTAAATTTTCTCTTATAGATACGTCGTCCTCACACGACAAACTGCTAGTCACAGCTATTGAAAGACAAGCACGTGATCGCAGAACGCTTGATCTCGTATCATCAGCTGCTATAGAGCGTAGTAAAGAAATAGGTTCTTCAATTAATGAACTAATGTCATTTCCTAAAGAAAAACATTATAGACTATAGAGAGCAGAATATGATACCTGTTTGTAACGCTATTTGAGCCAAAAGATTACAACCTAAAGAGCATTCGTCATCGGTTTTTTTAATAAATTTTGTGGCCAAATCAACGAGGGTTACTTTCCATTTAGATACAAAGTCTGGCAAATAGTATCTAGAGAAAGCGGCGAGCAATTGACGAACTGCAGCTACTCTTATGGATATGCTAATAAAAAAGAATAGTTAAGACTTATTCATACAGACTTACGTCTTGTGAGAAGCATTATCAATATGTTCAACTAAAGCATCAATAATTTTTTCTTCTTGTTCTTCTGCCTCTGCTTCTGCTTCCAATTGATCACCTGAGTAAAATATAATTTTCGAAAGAATAATCAATAACGTACCTTGAATACTTCTCATATCTGAGTCAAAACTGAGGTGAGTTGACTCAGAAGCATCACTGTCATAGTCTTCTTCATCTGAGAGAAGAATTGAATAATAAATAGAGGGAGAAGAGTTAACTAACCTGACTTCTTCGATCTATTCTTCGAATATGACTCTTTTTCTTTATTTTTATTCTTTCCTTTTCCCATGATTAACGTGAGCTGAAAATTTACTACATAACTGATTCTGAATACATACACGGAAAACAAAACGAAGAGAAATGTTAATAAAAAATTATCCGATACGCTATTTGAATGCTCCAAGTCAAGCACTAACGAGAAAAAGAAATAGAGTGCGGGACGCGAGAGTCGTGTCATTCACACTCTGCCTCCCTACCGTTGGCAACACTGGCTGCAGCGTTTGATAGCTGATTACTTTGTGTTTCGTATTGAAGTTTATTATTTTGCAAAACTGAAAATAAATTTAAAAATCACAATTTATCTCATCATCAAAGAAACAATTACATTATTTGTAAATCTAGTATTCACGTGAAAAGAACTTTTCATCAATTCAGATCTGTTATCAGGAACCGGTTGGGTAATATCAGCCGCAGTGCACTTGCTTTGCTTCTTCGTGTGGTATGGTTGACAGTTCCTCTGACGATTTTGTACCCATCTCAAACGTAAAGAAGGTAAACCATTGTTTTGTATTGATTTTCATGTGTAACTCATTAAGGTAGAGGGGCTGCATTGGTACTATCTTCAGTACCTCTTGATTACTGGCTTATATATGCTTGAACCTTGGGAGAGAAAATTGTTCAACTCAGTAGGAGCTGTGATTGTTGGTCTCATTTTTGGTTTATTATATTACGGAGTTCCTGCCTTAATCTTCTAAGTTAGCATTTTTACACAGTCACAGTCTTACTCTGGAGCTTTCAGGTTAACGACTAAATGTCGGACAAAATTTCTGTGTTACTATTAGCTGTCGGCGATGCTCCTATTCTGAAAACAAAAAAATTCAATGTTGGGAAATCACAATCGATGGCCTGGTTCTCATCTGTTATTCGAAAAATGATTAATCTAGAAGAGGAAAAGACTCTTTTCTTTTATATTTCTCAAAACTTTGCTCCTTCACCTGACCATACCTTCGAGACACTTTATAATTGTTTCGGTGTCGAAGGGACGGAAACCAATCTCGTTTTACATTATAGCGTTGGTCCAGCATTCGGATGACTCATATTTATCTAACCATCGCGTTGAGTTGAATAAATTTTTGTTTATTTATTCTAACGATTTTTAACTGGTTGAACCCTTTTGTTTTCTAACACGTGTTGCGATCACTATTCGTATTAATCTAGACTTTCATCATCATGATTCTTGATGAATCGAAGATTCAAGAAGGTGTTGAAAGGAAAATGAAGGAACTGTTGGACTCCGCCACGGTCTCTCAACTAAACCCCAACACTCCTATACAACGGTGATTCTTTGCTTTCAACCCCATGACTCATTCTTTCCAAGCTTTTAGCTATTATAGAAGTATATTAGAAGTTCATAAAGCCGCATTAGATTCACTCAAAGTTGGTGAACTCAAGAAGGCTTTCGTTCTATTAGTTAGGTTTTGCAGGTATAAATCAAAACCATTTTGCACAATAATAATGTTTTAATCAGTTTGGTTGTTGAAAAACTTCCTAAGCATCCACAAAACGCATCTTTTCGAGGTGAAGAGAAAGGGCTAGTTGATGAACTTCTCAAGTCATCATTATCAAAAGTATGATTTCAACGCAAGGTGATAGACAAGTGAAAGTTACAGGCAGAAGAAATTAAAACTCTGGTGAAACAAAACTTATACAGCGAAGTCAGGAGAGAAGAGAATGATAGAATTGCAAATGAGAGTATTCCATCTCAAGAACATGAATTGGATTTAACCAATTGTTCTTTACCTGTCAATCCGACCGCTCCTGTAATAACTACTCAAGAGACTTCTGAAGCCTGGAAAAATCAGTCAGAGAATCACTATTCTTTAACTATAGCATCAGATATCATAGACAAGTATGATCATCATATCATTTCTTGTCTATCAGTTCCATCAATTTAGATTTACGGCGGCATCCTATGGTAATACTCAACGAAACGTAGAAACTTGTGGCGTCTTGTGCGGGAAAAAGGTTGGTGTTCAGCTTTCGTTCTATACTGTTGTATTGAGATGAACTCTAACTACCTAATAACTCATGTTATACTTCCACCGCAAGTTGGTACATCGGACAGTTGTTGCGCTGAAGACGAAATGGGGGTCTTTTTGATTTCAAGATGTTTTTATTTAATATAAATTTAGTTGTTCAATATACAAAAAGAGAATAATCTTCTAACGTTGGGCTGGATTCATACTCATCCAACTCAGACAGCCTTCCTTTCTTCCGTAGATTTACATACACACTATGGATATCAATCATCTATGGACTCAGCTATTGCTATTGTGGTCGCACCTACTCATCAGTAATTTTTTGTTTCCGTATAATTGAAAATCTTGTTCAGAAATGGTATTTTTTCTCTGACTCCGGAAGGAATGAAAATTGTTGGAGAATGTGCTGAGAGAGGGTTTCATGTCCACTCAGAAGAATTGGGACCTCTCTTTGTGGAAGCACAACATGTCAATTATTCAAATGAGCATAATACAGAAATTTGTGACTTACGATACCAGTTAGGTAATTGAGATCAGGGAAGGTGATTGAATACATTGTTTCGTTTGAAACCATCAGATGAACCGCCTTACCCCAACAGAAGAATAAGGCATTCTTTGAAAATGTTGTTAATCAAAAGTGAATCAACACAATTAAAGTATTTTGAACACATGTTTTCCATGTTCGTTCCTCAAAAGTTGATGAAGAAGAAGAGCATAGTATTAGTTAATGTATCCATATAACAAAAGAGTAGCTTTCCTTTAGCTCGAAGAAAACAACAAGGGTCACGAACAATATTTTTAGCGCCACGTCCGAAATTGGCGCGTTGCTTGAATATTTATATGCACTATCGTTAAATTGTTGAATGTTTAAAAATTGCTATTTATAATTTGTTGTAAAGTTTTTGTGATTATGAATATTTGTTTCAGTGTAGAATGATACAAAGTTAGAAATGACTGGTTGATGAATGGTGTTTTTTCTATTTTCATGCTTCCGTATCTGAATAGACGTTATGTCAAGCTAATAAAAGGATCTATTTTATTCGCTTGCATACTTATTTCCTTAATAGTTTATTATAACTCATATCCTGATATAGCTGTGCAGAGGTTCTCACCTCAAGAGCTCCCTTCATACACATGTCCTTTTGTAAACAAAAAATCACGGTTAATACCTTCGCCCGTTTCTAATAATGCAACGGAAAACCGTATTCTTGTGCTATTAGAAAGTTCGTCTTCTAAAAATGGAAAGCTCATACTTCAACTGCTCAATTCTAAAAGAGTACAGTACAAGGTAGAATTGTTCGGGAAGAACATCCCTGCTCTCACAACAGCACTGCATGGACGGTTTTCCCTCGTAATCATAGAAAATTATTATAAATATCTTAATCTTCCAAAATGGAACAGACAAATTGTAGATAAGTATTGTTCAGAGTATCATGTAAGTTCTCCGTTTTTTGTTTCTGACATTATTTATCTGTTTAGGTCCCTATTGTTGCTTTTATATCATCGAGGACGAATGATACTTTTGAAAGAGCTAGAATAAAAGGATCTAGAGTGTATTTAAGGCAGAATCAAAAAGTCTAACAAACTTTTTAAACTGTTCAAATCTTGGTTTTACAGATATTCTCGGTACGTGTGGAACAATCAAAAATACATCGTGTTTTACGAATCGGTGCAACGAGATATGCAGAAACGGCTAAGAACTGGGTTTTATTCGAAAAGTCAGACAATCTTGAAATAGTACGAAGATTCAAATTTAATAGGATGTACATACAGTGTTTTAGGTTGTCTCTGCCACTGATTCAAAAAACAGGAGTTTAGCAGCCGTAATCTGGGAAAAAAACGCTGATGACGGAGTGGAACGAGTACTCTTCGGACATAACTTGACTGATTGGGTTATAAAGGTGAGTCCTCTTGTTTATTGAAATGTTGGTTTGTTTTTATTGAAGACTACATTTCACGACGTTCTTTGGCATTTCTCTGCCTTCGACAGCAGGTCCAGCTTAACTCGTTTTGTTCAGGTTGAATCCTTTACCATTAAGTAAGTAACTCTTTTTTTAAAGGTTGATATCGATGATATTTTTGTGGGAGCAAGAGGCACAAGGATGGTTGAGGATGATGTGAAGTAACGTTTAGAGGTTCAGTATAGGTTATACTATTATGCGATTCCAGAAAGCTCGTACAGAGTCAAGAAATACTGCGGAAGCATATTCACAACTTCACCTATACTCTGGGCTTTTCTGGAAGTTATTATAAAAACGGTGATGATCTGGAAGATAGAGGGGATGAACTTCTCATAAGTAATACATGAGTACGTGCCAAGTGACTTAACATATGGTTCAGAGTTAGCAAAACATTTCATATGGTTCCCTCACATGTGGAGACATAATCATGCTCATGAATACAATGGATCCTACCTTTACTCCACAATGGTTTTGAACAAACTGTTCGCTGAGGTTTTCGTTCGTTTTTTCTTCATTCACAAATTTTTTTTCTGCAGGATATGAGGTTGCCTGTTCTCTTTCCGTACGCTATAGCACCTCAACATGATGGAATCTATCCTGTGCACACTGAACTTTTCGATGCCTGGCGTCAAGTGGGCTCTAAACATTTTCTCGTTAATACATGTATCTTTAGGTTTGGAACGTTGAGGTTACTGCGACGGAAGAGTACCCTCATTTCAAACCCGCATCTGATAGAAGAGGATTCATTCATAGAAATATTTCAGTGAGTATAAATAGGTTTTTGATTTTCATACCTTTGATTCTCTAGGTACTGCCCAGGCAAACTTGCGGTCTTTATACTCACACACAGTTTTTCCACAGCTATCCTGATGGGTTCAGAAAACTCGTTAATCTCATCGAAGGGGGAGAGTTATACTCGACGGTTCTTCTGAATGATGTGAGTTTTATTCAGTCATACCAAATTTGTAACTTGCGATGTTTAGATCTCAATTTTTATGACACACCAGCAAAACTTTGCTCATGATAGACTAGCCATATATACTTTCCACAATCTTGTTTTGTTCATCGAATGCTGGACTAACTTGAATCTCCGTTGGCAGGATCCTATCACTTCCGCTCGAACATATTTTGAGCTCCATCCGAACGAAAAGACTCCTATATGGAATGTTAGTTATTGATCAATGCTTTTTAACTAATTATTTCTTCTTAAGAATCCATGTACTGACTTGAGGCATAGAAGTATTATCCCTCCGTCGTTAAACTGCTCGAATATCACTCTACCTAACGTTGTTATCGTTGGGCCACAAAAAACAGGTGAGACTTTTCATTGAGTTGCCATGAACATTCTGTCAGGTTCCACTGCTCTAAGCTCATTCTTGACTCTGCACCCAAACGTTTCAACGAACCCTGTAATACCAGACTCTTTTGAAGAGCTTCAATTTTTCGGAGGTGTAAATTACAATGAAGGGATCCAATGGTATGTACCTCTTCATGCGGCATTGTTTATTTTTTTTGTAGGTATATCAATAAGTTCACCCCAGCGAAAGTTGTTTTTGAGAAAAGCGCAACTTACTTTGATAATCCTGAAGCTGCAAAACAGGTTAGAAATTATCACAAGACTGATTTTCCAATTTTCTTTCAGCTCTCATCTCTCCTACCAGATGCCAAAGTTGTTGTAATTCTGTATAATCCTACTCTAAGAGCATATTCCTGGTATCAGGTATGATTAGTTTTTTTCCGTTTTCTTAAATTTTCTGTGTTAAGCATATGATAGCGCACAATGATTCTGCAACTCTTTCTGCTGGAAGTCTTGAAAACATTCTTGATGGTCAGACCATACTGTTACGGAAAATACGTCAAAGATATATCTCGGGTGGCAGGTTTTATTGTCTAATCTTCACAGCAAGATCAACAATTTTTATAGGTACACACATCACTTGGATCGCTGGTTAGAATACTTCCCATTGTCGCAGCTCTTATTGGTTGATGGAGAAGAGCTGAGAGATCATCCCGTGAAAGTACTGTTCTTAAAAAGGATTGTTATAAAATTCCAGTTCAGGTGGTCGAGGAACTTTCGACAACTTTAGGTTTGCCGAGTTTCGAATACAACAAAAAAATCCGATTTAGTCCTTCCAAAAAGTTCTTCTGTAGAGTAAGTGACTCGATAAGAAGATAAAAGAAAAATTGTTTCAGATCACTGAAGGAAAAACAAAATGCTTAGGTGGAAGTAAAGGACGTTCCTATGAACCCATCAACAGCTCATTAGAAAATAAGCTCAACATGTTATTTAAACCAGATAATCTTTCTCTTCAACGCTTTCTAACAAAAAATAAACTACCAGTACCTCAGTGGTTATCTCAAGTTTTAGATGAACCATAATATTGTTTATATGTGATCAGAATACTTATGTTTGTGAATATCAATACGGGTTGTACAGTTAAACGTGAATATTTCTTTTTATGTAATTTGATTACTTTCCTCACGTTATGTCGTGTGTTTACTTGATTTCATCTTGTGCATTCTAACTTATCTTTTTTTTTATTATTACAGATGCCAAAATACTATTGTGACTATTGCGATACATTCTTGACCCATGACTCTCCGTCTGTACGAAAAACCCACAATGGTGGAAGAAAACACAAGGAGAATGTGAGAATGTATTATCAGGTTCGACTACTGTACAGATATCAATGTTTGCTTGTTTGTTTCAGAAATGGATGGAAGAGCAAGCACAGAAATTAGTAGATGAAACAGCTAGAGCGTTCGCGCAGAGTGCTGCCAGAGGTCGTCCAGTGAACTCAATGGTGATGGGCACTTTAGGAAGACCGATAATCCCAGCTGTACAAAGATCCGGCATGTCATTTTCTGCTTTCCCTGGAGCCCCGGTATGCTTCAAGACTGTTTATTTTCATTGTAATGTATTCCTAGGTTCCATTCGGAATGCCATCAATGGGAGTTGGGGCAGCGTCTGCGGCTGCTGCTGTTGCCGGAGCCCCTGGTGCTCCTGTAGCGCCTGGTGCATTAGGAGTTCGTGCTCCTGCTGTTCCATTCCGTCAACCTCCAAGATACTGAATTCGATTCAATATGTTTCCAAGCAAACGCCGATCTTCATATAATATCTCCAAGTTGCAGCCAATTGTTCTTTAATAACTATTATTCTTTTCATTATGTAATAAAGTTGGTCACGTTATTCTATCTCGTCTTCTTTAGCTTCAGTTAAGCTACTGGCCGTATTTTGAATCATTCATTGAATCTCCAACTTCACTATTCTATATATCTTCTATAAATTTTAAGATGGACGACTATGAGAGGGAGAAAGTAAGGAAAGAAATCATGACGGTCTTCCGTATCAACGCGTATACTCCTCGAAAGTATGATATACTCGGACATATAAAAGAAACATTTTTATTTCAAGGGACGGTCTGGATTTTTGCGTCGAAGAAATGCAAAGATTCGATAAAGCTACGAGGACGAAGTGGTTGGATAAAATAGTCGCAACACTGAGAAAACAAACTTGTATGTATATTATAGTGTATAATAACTTTGAAGTGAATTTGTAGTGAACACTCCTGTCCTCACCAAAGAAGTATTCATAGAGATTTTCAAGCAGATTTCGAATAGCGGGCAGAAAAAGTTAGCTGAAGGTCATAACTTTCGACTGTAATCGTTTTAGGGAAGAATTATTCAAAGTGTTCGATGTATTCTCCATCAAACAGTTCAACTATGATCCCGAGTGCTCGAAAATGATCAAATCCGCAAAAGTACCGAAAATTTCTTCTGATGTGAATGGTATGACAACAGCCTTACGTAATAGGTTTACCATTGTTCAACAGGTGAGTATTCACCTTCTGTTGATAGTGGATTTAAATTTGCTTCAGAGAGCTCAAAGATGCAAAGTATTGCAACAAATTCATTTTTCCCAAATTGACTCGCTGTTAGGCTGCATAAGGAAGAGAGAAAACGTAATCATTTTGGGGATGATCAGTCAACAAAAAGTCACAAATTTATACAAGATCCGCACTAATCTCAGTATTCCAGGCAGATTGTTATCATATTGAAGATTTGACCGGGTCGATACAAGCCAATTTCTCAAATGCTGAGTTTAGAACTGGTCTGTTCACAGAGGGTGGAATCTACATGTTTGAGGTTTTTCTGCATAAAAAATCAAATATCTAAAGCATATTATTCAAGGGTACTCTAGAATCCAACATTTTCTACGTTCATATCGCTGCGCTTGTCCCAACAGAAAGTGCTGATCAAACCCGTGAGCATTTTGGTAACGAAAATTGGTTTGGAGGAGACGATCCTGTAAGTTCGAGATTAAATGACAATTGAAACTCTTATTTGAGTTTCGCCGTTCTTTTATGTTTTATTTTTTTGTTTCCAGATTGCATTCAGATGCAATAAAAAACTGGTGGCAGCATGCGTGAGGAATGTTGAAGCGGCTATTGTTATTGTGTCTGATGTTCATTTGGATCAACCAAAGGTGTTCGATTGTTATGAGAAGTTTTCATTCAGTGATTTTTAGGTGATGCGAGCTTTATACCATATGTGGAGTGGTTTCGCTATGTGCCCACCTGTTGCTTTCATACTTTGTGGAAACTTTTGTTCCCGACCTAGGCAACCAGACACCATGGAGTTGATGGAAGAGGGATTTCGAAGGTGCCCTTCTCAAATGCCAATAAATCTCATTTATAAATAATTCAGATTATCAAATCAGCTGAATGAAGATAGTCATCGTAAGGCTTTTGCCGATACTCATTTCATTTTCGTTCCGGGTCCAGATGATCCTTCAATGAATATGGTTTTGATACAGAAAGGTACAAGTCGTAATTAACTTCATGAGTTTCAGTGTTTGCCTCGACCCCATTTGCCTTCACCGCTGTTGAATCCGCTCAAAACTCTACCGAACGTTCTTCTTGCCTCTAACCCTTGTCGTATCCAGTATGGAAGTAAAGAAATAGTCGTATTACGCGATGATTTGGTCGAAAAGATATGTCGGTAGGAAGTCAAAATATGAATTCTTCTTCGATTCTAACACTTTAAGACATACTGTCAACAGTGTTGAACAATCTAACATCCCAAGAGCATTTGCTCTCACTGTTTTGAGTCAAGTAAGATAGCTACCTATGAGGAAATCAATCATTTATTTTTCACAGGCTAATCTCTCACCATTACCATCTCACATTGCTCCAGTGCTTTGGGATTGGGGAACAGCGCTTTCACTTCATCCATTGCCCGATCTCTTAGTTGTTGCCGACAAATACATTCATTTTACTGAGCGCGAATCGGGTTTGAATTTTTTTTCTAATTCTGATATTTCAAGAAACATCTTCAGATATGATAGTCTGCAATCCTGGCTCATTCTCAACTTCTTCTTTCGGTTTCCATGTTTACTATCCTGAACAGAAAAAAGTTGATGATAGCGTCATCGAGCTTGAATAATGTCATCATCGATCTCAAACGTTTATTCACCACTTATCGCTCATTCCAACCTTGCTAACCAGTATTAACTCATGTCCATATCACTCATTTAATTTATATACATATGTGAAAGTTGGAAAAACTGCTCCGGTCCTCTCAACAAAATTAATCTATTGTTGAGTATGAATAAATTTAATACTTTTCAAAAGTCTAGGCAGGAGAGTGATACTGCAAGAAACAAAAATAAAAGAAGATTCTCTTATCTGGAAAGTTCATTTTGAGTATTGACATACAACGTCTTTCTGAAAAATCACATGCATTTCATAATATGCTTCGACATTTCATGAAAGGATTTGATAGTCGCTTATCTTTTCATATTTCAAAGCTGGAGCGAACGATATGACAAATCTGAATGAAGTAGGAGGTTGAGTAGTCAGGAAGATTTGAGAGAATATCTGAATAACAAACCGTTCAGTCTATTCTTGTCTTACTCGGGTCATTCCCATAATTCTCAATAATATTTTATTGAATAGAAGGAGGGAAAGATTTCAAAGGGATTATTGACGCGAGGCATTAACTGCTAACAGCTGTAGATTATGTAACTACGTAATTGACAGGTGTAGGAGTTTGGAAGCCACTCCCAACTCGAGCCTTTTCACCTGTTTGCCAACAGTTTTTATAGCATCGGTTTAACTAACAAGATGTTCATTTTGTGTTTTCCCTCAGGAAACCGAACATTGCCTCGCAATTCTTTTTCTGGCATTTTTCTAATACCTACTAATAATCTTTCTCGGTTTAGGCAATTTAACATGTCAGCTGGGTATACGAAGTTTTTATTTTATTTATTTCTGTCAACGGTTCTGTTAAATTGTGTTTCATCTAACTTTGCTATTGGTCGGCTTTCTCCTAATCGACCTTCGGCTGGTAAACGCAGCTCCACTACTGACCACATTTGGAAATCTATTTTATTACAAACAGGTTAGTGCGAACTCTATTAAGCTCAATTCTTTGTAATGATACAGAAAGTGAATGCTCTCTTGTAAGGCGGCTTCTTCTTCGCGAAGAGGTTGAACGAGTTCAATTTCAGCTCGTTAAAATGATGGATATGTTGGATCAATGTCAAGACATGGCTCTAAAAACTGCTTGAAAGAAGTTTTTTTTATCATAAAATAAATCATATTTGTTAAAACTTTATTATTCACAGTATAATATACAAACAAAGTCAATCAGCTCGTCATGTGAGAAAACCCAAACGTAGGAAGAAGTCAAAGTTTCTTTCTGATCTAGATTGAGAGGCTTGATATTGAACATCATTCATTTCAAAACCTCAACAACATAATTCTAAGATAGAACTATAGTGTACAAAACCACTCAACAATGTTGGTGTAAGACTAAAATTTTCCTCTTGCTATATACGGCGATACTGATTTGTTTCGGTCGTCAACTTCAAAGATGGAGAAGGGGAGAATAGAAAATCTGTTTTTTCATATTTTACTATGAACATGCCAGTTCACAAATAAATTGGATAGAATCATATCTAAAGGTTGAGACGAACGATCATCAAAAATACGCTTAATTATTAATCTAAATTCATCTGAAAACAACGAGGGAGTTTACCTTGGCATAATGTATAGTATTGAATGCAACAGCTCTGTACCCACACAAACACTGAAATGAGTTGAAGAAGTTTGATTTGATTGCTCACGTATGTCTTCACGCGAGCGATTAGCATATGATGTGTGAGCAGTAAAGAAGCCACGAACACAAAACATCAAACAATATTCTGTTGAAACGTTAATCATTTTGTAACTCTCAAAGATTATTTATCTGCTATAACTGAATATGAACGAAATTATAGCTTTCCATTCACGTCCTATTGCAACTGTACTGAATTGACAATGCCAGCTGTCGTTGTGTCCTATAGTTATTAATAGAGGAATCTTTCAAAACGAAAATAAGACAAATTCAATTTTTTTCATAAATTTAGATGGAAATTATAGAAATGACTTCCCAATTGATAAAAAATTAATTGAATTTCTATTTGATTTTCATTTTCATCGTACATCTGCCACTCACTATCTTGTTGACTTATTTTGGAATAGTGGAAACGAAATTATTCGTGTCAGAGTTATAAGACAAAGGGACAAATGGTATTGACAACATGCGATATGTTAGTTAACATTAGAAATGAGCAAGTATAAATTGAAGATGAATATAGAATGATAGGCTGGCTCTTCTGAATATTAAAATGAAGAAGACAAGTATTTATAGGCATCCATCTGTTTCTGCTAAACAAGATGTAGAAGTATAGCTGCACAAGACTGTTTTCATTAACTTAGCATTTTTACTTATATTTGTGTTTGTTTGTTTCATTCTCTCCTGTGAAGCATCCTGGTTGTCAATAATGGTTTTTGACAAAAAAAAGGAAGAAAAAAAAAGATGAAAAGTTTTTTGTTATTGTCAACGACTCCATTGTAGGGCTTCGAAAAATTCATGCAAGCCCATAAGAATTTAGTTCTTTCACTATGCCTTCCTTGAACTCCCCCATAAACATGGCTAGTGGAATAGAAGGCCAAGCTTAGCTTCAGAAATTAATTCTGTTTGAGAATTACTTTTCCGGAGCAAATTCTCAGCTATAGTATCAGGAAACTTATTTTTTCTCTTCTTCTCATGTCTCTTCACTGAGAGAAATGAAAGACAAGAACTGTTTTTCTTGACTGCAGATTTGAGAACTTCACTACTCTCGCTGTAACTGTGGATAATTAATTTTTATAACTTTTCTCCTTCTGTATCGATAGTGAATCATTCAACAATAGAAAGGAAACAATAGCAGCTTCTCTCATTTTATCCATTTATTCATTGTCATCCATTTCAACGTATGCTCAAACGTGGATGTTCCGTTTTTTCGTTGCCAACTCTATATCTGCGCGAGCGAACGAGAAATTTTGTTTCTTTTTCAGCAAAGTTTCAGCCAGCCAGTCATGCCATCACTAATGAGTACTTTGTCAGTTTTCATATTATCTACATTAGTTTGTTCTTGTGTTCTCGGTGAGTACAGCTATATCATAGTGATCTTAACAGAATATCTCTTACAGCTCAATTACAAACAACAGCATTTCCTTCTTCTGTCGGAAATGAAGTGCAGAACACGTTGGTTCCCACTGTTATCTCGGTTATTTTTGATTAAAAAAATGAAACAAAACGAAATTTTTTAGATAAACAATGAAACCACACTGAGCCAGTTGACGAACATCACAGTTCGCGAGGAAATTCCAACGTCTACAATCAAATCATCAACATCATCAGTGTTTGAATCGTTCGTTCTGTTGCAATCATTCATCGTAGCTTTCGTTCTTCTTTTGTAATTTTTTTAAAAAACTGTTCGTAGATGGAAGCTTCTAATTAAATCTTTTTATTTACATTTTACCCGTAATTAATCAAGTATATACAATGGATAACTCATTATAATGTCAAATAATTTCTTTCTTATAATAATAAACCTCTTTATACTTGTACTTTGTTTCTAAGTGATAATGTTTAAGAGAAGTCAGACCACCATGCAGACACTTCTACAGACTCGTGCTCTTGTAATATTCTCGGACTGGGTTGTTGAGAGTTGACTGGAGACACCATCTGAATATTAATATTTAAACTGTTTTCTATTGCTGGTCTAACTGCAGCATTTGTTGATGGGCTCAAAGGCATTTCGAGCTCTTCCTTTAGTTTTGGAGGAGAAAATTGACCATCTTCCGCTTTTTCCTCCACATCAGGCAGTTCATACACATTGAGCTAAACATTCGTATTGTATAGTTGCATCTCAAAACGTTGTCATACATGTAAGCTTTTCTGAATCATAGACTTTTTCTGTTCACATGATCGCTTTGGTAAGAGCTGTACGTTTTCAGCTTGTCTCCTTTGTGACTTTTTCTCGCTATTGCTGGTCATAAGCTTCCGTGCAGCGTCGTGGAACAATGTGCTCGTTTGGAACTGAAAAAAATATGAATCTGTGGACACATAGAGTATTTTACCGAAAAGGCTTCTGGTATGCTGCTTCTTCGATTCTTGATTGCCTTCTTTCGAACTGGTGTAGTTTCTTCTAACTCATCTGTAGAATATCCATCATCAACACCAAATCGAAGACGAGGAACTTCCGATGGCTCATATTGCTGTGTTGCAGAGGTACCTAAACGAGTAAAAAATTGCAGACAACAATTTGTTTGAAAAACCAGTTGTTGACGGAACAGAATATTTATTGAACTCGATAACAGATTCCTTCTGTTGTGGATTTCGCATCCTTCTTAAGCAGTTCTCCAGCCATGTTCGAATAGTTTGCTTGGCAACCTCTTCCTCTATTATAAATTCCAGTTCTTCTCTCTGAGAACATATCGATTATGTCATAAAGTTATGTTTTTCATAGAGTAAACCTGTAAGAGTTCTTCCAGTTGAAGTGATTTACGAATATCCACTGATCTATAGGATAACATGCTAAAAGTTCTTATAAATATTGCTCAATAAAAGAAAACTTACTATAAAACATCATGGAACGAGACATCATCTCCCATATGCAATCTTTCCATTTCATAACACATATGTTTAAATAGCACACGATCTTTCTCTGGATCAACTTCTAGTCTTCCCTAATGATAATCAAGATATAGTTGGAAGAAACACGGAAGAAACCTTCAAAAGTCTCAATAGGAATTTCACACGACCAACAGGAATAGCTCTTTTCTGTTCTAAGTCAACAGTGTTCCAAACAAGCTGAGCAAAAACAAAGATTAAACGAGTACGGCTCCTGTCTAATCTTACCTGGAAGTTTCGGATATCGTTATAACTAAGCAGAGCATCTTCTTCACTAGAATAGAACAATGAGAAGTTCTCCATAATGATAGCTAAAAGAGAAGTAAAAAAGGCAAAACAAATGTCATCTTACCGACTAGCAAATTACGAACGATATAAGTAATTATCAAATAGAATGAGCAAAAATAGATTATTGCACCGTAGTAGTTGCCGCAATCAGTTTCCCAGTAACTCAAACCTTCCTCCCAGTAGCAAAACGGAGGGCTTCTCTGTAATTGTTTTTTAACATAATTATTTTGAAGAAGAGCTTTATTAACCATGCAGTCGTGCATTATGTCATTCCAATCTTCTCCAGTGATGCTACGAAATAGAACAACTAAAGCTTCTGATCCAGTTCGAAAGTTTACATGTCTACAAGTCAATGAGGATCATACATGTTTTTTGGATTATTCATACTTGCTGACAGCTTGACCGTATTTAACCATCCCAAAAAGAATAACTCCTGCATAGGCGTAGAAGAGAACTAACAAAAACATAGCTGTTATAATGAAGAATGATCGGAACATGCTCATAACAACAGTTAGCATCAGCATTTTCAATGTACTATTACGACCTAAGATGAATTTATGTATTCAAAGAACGAAGCGTAACATTTCTTACTTGCAATTGTGAAGAACCGTAAGATAACAATCAAATATCCAAATGTGTAAGTGAACCTTTTCAAGTTTGTCACACGTACAAGTTCAAACTTCGAAGAAGGCAAAGCAACGAAGAAATGCAAAAAAATCCAGAAAAGTCCGAAGATTGTTATTAGCAAATCAATTCGATTACGTCGTGATTGCCAAAAGCCTAAGAGCGTAAAAGCAATTATTTTCAAGATGATCTGAAAAAAATAACATGATCAAGCGATAAAACACAAAACCGAACCTCTACTGCAAAGAAAACATTGCTGACAGCACTCAGTGTGGTAATTACAAAGAGTTCAGTACGCCGTTCCGTTTCTTCTTCCACATTCCAGGGAAACACTAAGGTCAGTGAGTTTATTATAACCAGAACGTTGAAGAGCTGGAATTTTTTTTTCATCCACCAATAGAATATTTAATCTTACGTTTTCGAACCAATGGCTCAGTGTTAGCTCATACAAATATGTTCTCAATCTTGCTGACTCAGGTGGTTTAGGAGGTACATGAAGTGGTTGCGCCATCTTCAAACGAGCTTTCAAGTCATGCCATCTTCTTTGATCAACGGTCAGCAAAGCAGTACCCTGTAAATATAATATAATACGATTTCAATTTAGTTTCTAGCATATGATCTATATTTGTCGCTCATGGTTTCATTTTGCTTTAAATTTGTAGTGAGCGGTCGTTTTTTTGTTTTTTCTCAAGTTTTTTTCTCTATTTTCATTTTCATTTTTTTTGAGCGGTTGTGCTTTTCTAGGAGCAAAGTAGTATATCTAAGATGTCTTACCCGATTTTCAGTATAATTTGCGATAACAACACCGACAAACAATGTTAAGCCGATCATACATCCGATGAAGACATATATATGAATGAAGACTACAGCCCACTGTAAGTTTAACATGACCAATGAAAACAAAAATGGAGTTATACCGGTCCTTGTCTGCTCCACAGAATATCCCGAATGACATTCCAACCTTTATAAGAAAGTGTTTCAAATAAAGCAAGCATAGCGTTTCCAACATGATCAAAATTGAAGTTTCTTGGATTCGTCCTAAACACAAGTTGAAATATATTCGTTCTGCTTATATATTATCTCACCAAACTCTGGGAACTAAAATGCGAGGGTGTAAGTCATCATCATTTTTTCCATGAACTTCCAGACGAGTCACAAATATTTTTTGCCAGAAGATTCCAGTACAATTTTCCTTGGAGTTAAACGTAAAAATAAAAATAAAAATGCTAATATTACTCTGTTGCTGATGGTGGGATCGTTACAAGAAGCTAGCTTTCCGCCAACTATTTGAACTCCGAAGCTGGCGAAGATGAACATGACGACTATCATGAGAATCGTGACCTTTAAAGTAGAAAATGATTTATAAAGAACGTATAGATTAAGACAAACCAGCATAATCTCTTTGAAACCCCGGAAAAATTCAAGAACAACACGTCTGATGTGAGGGACTAACGTATAAACCCTCAACGGTCTCATTGCTCTGAAGATCATCACTAGTTGAGCTAACGAATTGATTTCCACATGTTTCGGCATCCATAACAGGAATAAGAGGCTTGTCTGTAATAGAAAATTTAACCGTTAAATATTCTGGTAAAAAGTTTACAAAGTAAATAAACATTGTCATGACTCCTCCTACATCCCGCACTACAGCTTTCGGGGTGAAGAACAATCCGTTTGCTACTATCTTTACTGCAAGTTCAAAAGTCATGCTCAACACAAACACGTAATCAGCTATCTGTAAAGAATTTTATACAGTTTGAAAAGTCTAAATACAGACTTGTAGGTAAAAGTTGTTCATCACAAGGTTTTCTCCCGTAGTCGGCCATGGGCTTTCAAACAACATCGAGATACAAGACAGTATCGTTATCAAAACCATTCCCCAGTCCAAGTAGGGCATGATACCAATGAGGGCTCTTGAAACAATGTTCCAAAATATTCTAACTTGAAAATTTTACTTGATTTCCTTGAAGCTTCCTTTTATCTTAGTTGCTCCATTACCGCCTTCGTCCTGACTGTCATATTTCGAATGAACTACCTTGAATTTTGACATAATAATGAAAAAAATGAAAAAAATTACTTTTTTGCAGAACTCTCTTAGCTTTGAAGCTCTTCCTACAAGGAATAAAGGACGATCAAACATGGGATGATTTTCTCTCATATCTTCTTCAATACGATTTCTAAACGATTGAATTAATTAAGAAGTTTTTGACACTTTTCAAACCGTGTGATCTCCGCTAACTGTCGTTTCTGTTGTAAAGCTCTTATATCAATTTCTCCTTGCTTCAACTCCTTTTTGGGAGCAGAATCCATAGGGCGGCTCAAGTCTCCATTTTCTCCATACATGTACTGTTGCTTCGTTCTCAATGTATTTTGAAGAAACTTGGCAGTCATTGTCCTTGATTTACTGAAAAAGGTTGAAAGTATGATTGTCTTACTAGGAAAGACTGTTTCGTTTAGCGAATTATTAAAGTTTCAGCCATAAGCAACAGCCCAAGTTAAATAGAAAACAGATTTTTAATAATATCAGAGACGTTCACTTGTGAAAGCTTCTATCACACAGATGTAAGGGAAACCAAAGGGAAAGATTCAACAGTTAAAGCTCATATCTAACTTGCAAATTAATAACATCCAACATGCAGCAATTTTTGAATATTCAAAAAAAAATAATAAAAGAAGCAAAGAAATGTATATGAAGGAACATACGGTAGAGCATCCTTTCTGGGATGTAAAGTTGTCGACGACCTGGTGAAGTGTGGTAGGAAACTGAATGAATTCGACACCGACTGTCGCGTTCTATCCGATAACCTGTGAGGAGAGTTTGGTCAAAGGTTTTGATAATATCAATAAATATTGTGATAACTCTCTCTTCTAATTGAACTGTTTGATTCGAACGATCACGACATAAGGGGAAGACACATTTGAGTTTTGAAGAAGACATTGGACATGCCATATGGTTCTTTCATGCACAGTTTTCATTTGTTTTTTTTAAGAGTTTGCTTGGAGTACGTTTTGATGAATAGAAAGAAGCCTTCTGCTAGCATTCAAACTTACTCAAGCAGGTTAGCTATCGACGATCTCAAAGAAACAGTTCCAATATGACGGAATAATGGTTTCTGATGATTATACTTTTGCGGCGAGTTGGCTATCCGAAGTACCCGTTTACTATCTTCTAAGTCTGAAAGGAGTTAACTTAGTTATATATGTATGTACTTCTCTATAACTCACCTGAATCCATTAAGTCTAAGATATCGACAGTCTCCGCAAATTGATGAGTGAAACTATCACGAACTTTTGGCATTGGGAATTCGCCCTCAACTCTGAAGAAGCAACGTATGTATATCTTAAAATGGATGAATGTTACCTCTTCATTCGAACCATCTGCGGTCTTGTTGGAAATTTATCGAACACTCGTAATCTCCACGGCAATGTTGTTCTCATAGAGGTTGTCTTTAAGCATATGAATATAGTTTGCATGAAACAAAAGGTCTTACGGCTTCTCTAGCCTTCAGTTGTTTAACTTTCTTCAGTTCTTCGTCCATTTCCAAGTTATCCAAAATAACGGCTACGAACAAACTGAGCACAATCTAAATATGGCTCTACATAAAACTCTAGCTTAGAAATATACCAAAGTGACGAAAAGATGATATGCCACAAAATAAATTGCCACAAAAGGAACTAAGGGATCATCTGTTGCTCTAAGAACTTCTACAACAAAGTCAGTCCAACCTTCTTGGGTTATGATTTGAAACATAGACATAAAAGCCTAAATAAGTGGTATTAAGAATTCTGCTGAAGTATACTTCAATACTTGAGGAAATGTGTGGAAATGGCTAAGATCGGGAACAGCGAAAAATAGCTGCAATGATATGGCAGAAGCAATGATAACAAAGGTAATGGTGAATATAACTAATCCTCCTAATTTCTTTCCGGGACTGAATATCTGAAACAAGGATGTTAAACAAGTTGAAGTTATCATTAACGTACCTTCCAGACAAAATCTTCTAATATAGGAGAAGCTTTTATCAACCTTAATAGGCGAAAAGCTTGGAAGTATGTAAAATAGTTTTTTTCATAAAAATATTTGAAAACATTGAAAGTGCTTCCAATACATAGAATAAGTTCAAATTTGAATATGCCTCGTCTGATGAAATTTCTAAACCCATAACATAGAATTTTGATTAAGCATTCCGCGTTAAACAAGACAGTGAATCCAACCTGAAGCAAGTGAGTGAGAGATGAGTTTCAAAAGAACATTATACTCACTTCTATATAATAATAATAAACTTTTCTGTTTTTGTCACTCTCATCATGACGATAAACAAATGAAGCATTGATTATAGCATTCAATAGAACAAAAAGTATGATGAGGCATTGGAAGGCCATGCTTCTCAAGTACTGAAAGATTTTGCTTCGAATCAATTTACAAGCTAAGATACCCTCTGAATCATATGCATGCTTCCTTCAGCCTCCGTTTCGGCATCTAAGCGAATCAATCGCCAACCGTCTTCGGTCTTTTCCAACTTCTACAGGTTCAAAAACATAAACACAACTACTTTCCATGCTTTACCTGTCTGAAGTCTTCGTCTAGAACTACTTCTTTCTTCTGCCACATCTCACTGAACTGAACACGAATTTCAGCGAAGGTTTCTGTGATGACAGCAATGAAAACATTCTGAAGTTTGAAATCATCTGTTTGTGAATATCTTTGAATACTTACTTTGACCAACCAGGCGAGGAAGAAAATGAGTGTCAGGAAATAAATAAAAGCTAAATGAGAGGGTAATGAATCCATACAATCGTATAGAACATAGACCCAGCCTTCTTCTGATGCTGCCAAATATACGGTGAACGCAGAAGCAGCTGTGAAAGATATTTTTTTACAATATAGTATGAAGAGTATGAATACCGAAATGGTTGAACATGCCGTAGAATCCTTCCGATTTAGCGTTCAGATTCAATCTCATACAAACCTGAAGAGCATCATTGAATCTAACTTTAATAATCTGCCTTTACCATTTCTCCAGGACATTCATATCCACCACCTCCCTTCTGCGAACACATAGTATCAGGTATAGCTAAATCGGCTATCGTCACATTATTAGGATTAGTTGCTGAAATTGATGTTTATTAAGAGTTCAGACGTTTTCATATTACTTGGCACAACACAATGGTAATCCATTCTTCCAAACAGTTGTATGCCCATAATAGCATAGAAAGTCATGAAGAAAACAAAAAAAAGAGTAACATTCTTAACCTGCTGACTCGAGCGTCTGAAACTCATAGTTTGTATAATTCATTATCAAAGGAAACTTACTTTAACAATTGTTCTATTCGATTCTTAGGCAATTTAAATTTAACAACAAGCCTAATTAATCTAACTATAATAATAGGTCGAATGCTACGTATGACTCCGAACCTGAAGAAGTTTGTTTATAATCCTTTACATTATTAAAACCAACCAGTTCTCATAAAATAGACCCAAAAATGGAAACTGTACAGAAATTAATTCATAAATATGTAGGATCCAGGATAACCAGTGTATACAAGAAAGAAATAAGTCAAACTGGCACCAACGATCACGTAAAAAGGATGAATCTAGCTGAAACACAGTATATATGCAATAGAATGAAATCAGATAAAGCTGCAAACCTTAAAATATCCTTCGTGATGTATCCTTAACACAATATCTGCCGTAAATATTAAAACAGGTATTATGTCAACTAATAGAACAATATATGTTAAATATGGTAATAATTGAAATGTGTGTGGAGTGTGTAAACAGACAGTTATCAAAGATATAATACATGCTGTCTTTAATGCTCTTTCCATTTGTTCATTTTCCATATATACTGAAATGAAAACGTCTTGTTCCAAATGTAATAGTTCGTATAAGTTAATGATGATATTCAATTCTCTTGAGAATTCCTATGCTCTTATCCAATTCATAGCTTTCAACCGAATATCAATGATCGATTCAACTTTTCGGTTTCTTTTTTGTTGCAATATAACTGTAAATCTCAAAATGATGGAAGGATTCCCAGTAATGGATACCAAAAGCTGGAAAAAACGAAAACACATTCGTTTTAGTTCCTTCGTTTGCAATAGTCGGTTAAGTCGTCAACGCTGTACGGAGCTAGTGTAGATTATGCTAATCTCACGTATGCCTTAGGTTGGATGCTGTTCATTTTCAGATTGCAAGTCATACAAAACGGTTGTCAATCTTTCAAGTACTTCCGTTGTTCTATTCTTTGTACAACTTTTTAAAACGTTGCTGCTCAAGGCTTTGCTTCTGCACTTAGTATTCGGGTAAGAAGAGAGATAGCGTAGGCGAACAGACTTTTTTTGAGTTAATATGAGAGTTTAAAGTATTTTAGAAGATAGATGGGATATACAAAACATAAACTAGAAATAACGAGTATATCACATCGACATGTGAAAGTTCTAAAGCTAAAAAGTCTTCAGGGCACTCTTGGGGATTACATCAGAGTATGCGAAAGCTTGAACAAGTTTAAGAACTAAGAGCTGAAAATCATTTTTCGAACTTCAGGCTCTTCTAATTTTCACTAATTATCATGACAAGAAAAGAGTCAATCATAAAATTTAGTAGAGGAATATCTTATAAACGGAACCTTTTTTGACCTGCTTCTTCTGTTGAGTTGATAACATGTCGGATATAGCGGCTATACTTTCACGAGCTCCAAACTGTGTCCCACCTCGTCCTTAAAGCATAAGATTAATTATCTGAATCAATCTTCCAACATACCAATTACAGAGTTCTTGCGTGCTAACATTGCTGAGGATAATACGGCCGCCTTCGCCACTGAAAGAATACTTTAAATATAAAAACGGAATCAATTCTATTTTGCATTGTTTGGATTGGCAAAAAAAGGATAAAATGAAGATTGTTTTCATTCTGGTGTTAACTAAGAAAGTTCCTGCGGAAAGTGTTACCATTGCTATTAGCACTTTGAGAATGCTTCTTTTGGTTATAGGTTTGAATCAAGCTTTTCTTACGATCCGACATGATTGGAAGAATGGGAAAAAGAAGTCAAATTAATACAGAATTATAGTATGCATCGAGTTGTAATGAACTCGTTTCTTCACAGATGTCGGATTGGCAGAGGAGAGACTACCAAAAACAAATGGATTAGTTAGAAGGACAGATAAAAAGTTATCCTAATGGAATACTTGGGAGAATGTGTAGTTGCCAGCGTCTGATAGTCTCTTCTACCTCAGAGTAGTTGCTCAGCTTCTCAAATCGCTGAGTTGAATAGAAAATAGAAAAAAAGAATTCACAGCGTGGCCTTCTCTCTTTATATTTTCTGGTTTCTCCGTTGTTTTATAGCTTTCTCTCACTTTCTTTTTCTTTGATTCTCTTCTTTTTAGACGATGTTATTAGCACGAATCCCGAAAAAGAATGAAATAGAAGAGCAAGTGTGAGTAAGAAACAACAACGTCCTCGTAGTCGATGTCCTCTGTGACGACGGGAATGAATGCTTTAACGCCAGTGTAGCTGATGCCGATAGCGATGATAGAATAATATGGATCGTTAGGCGATGAAGGGCTACTGAAGAGAACTATGCCTTTTTTGAAAGCTGCCAAGCGAATTCGTGATAACAGGCTGAGAACAAATCGTCTAATGGGGGAAGGATTAGCTCAGAAAGTCTCAAGTATATCTTTCCACCAGCTTCATCCCGTCTTCTTATGGTCCTACTTGGCTCGTCTGTCCTCGTTCGGTTTCCGTCTCATCCTCATTTTCTTCATCTTTCTCAGTTTTCTGGGGTCTCTTCTCGTTATACTTTCTTTTCTGGCTGAACCCTTCAGCATCTTTAGAATTCTCTCATTTCTTCAGTATCTCTTCAATAACATGTGAGTAGTTCCTAGTGACAGAACGAGTCCGATGGGAGACAATGAGGATGAGCAGTTGTAGCCTGAGCAAGGCTTCTTCATCTTTTTGGAATGACCTTCAAATTGTGTTTGATGAAGAGTTTCCTTTTGTGAATTGAGAAAACACCAAAAAATACTTATAAAGGATGAAAATGGAAGGAGAATATTCAATTATCTCTTACATGTCCGAAGTTTCTGATGTATAATCCATTTCATACTTTATGATGATAGTATAATCATTACTTTGTAAACAAATTTTCCTTTCTAAATACATTTTTGAATATATATGAATTCTTCAAATGAGAATGAAATTGCAATCACAAGTGGCTGTTAGAAGGTTTAAGAGCCCTTAGTTTCATTCCTCTCCTTAAGAGAATAGCATGAATTTTACGGTTTATAGAAAATTCACTTGCTATTTTGAGCGATGATTTGAGTTTTTTGTTTAGCAAATCGTTTCCGTTAGTCTCATCTTTAACTTTCTCTTGAAGAAGGAGAAAGAAAAAAACAAAAGAAAAAAATGGCCATCGGAGCAGTAGTTTGAGTTGGATTGAAGTAATTTCCTGATGCTCATCATGAGCGCACTAATCAATGTTTGCAGCTCGATTTACTCATATTTCGAAGAAGCAAAAAAAAATTAGTTAGTTAAATGTTTCGTTATATAAACATATAGAATGCCATGGACATTTTCGAAACAGATGGCAGCATAGATTGATGATTTCATTTGGAAACATTTCATGGCTACATTCCGAAAATCAGAGTCTAGCGTTGTAGAATAGGAAGTAGCTGATTCTCCAAATTCAACAGCAGGACGAGAAGATAAGAATTCCAAAAAGAAAGTGACCACGCACCAAATGAGAAAGAGAGGATAGAATATAAAAGAGAAAGAGAGTAAGATATATCCATATAGGGGAGAATATATTAGAGAAGATCTAACAGTTTGCTTTTCAACTAGCTCCATGTTTGAATCAAATGAAAACTGAACGCAAACTCACATCATTTCACTTTCTTCAATAATATTAATAACGAATAATATTAGTAAAATAGCATATTGTCTAGTCAAGTTAAAGACGAATTCGTTTCAAAAAAGAAAGCCAGACGAACTAACGTTTACGGAAATCGTGAATCTCTACTGATGAATGGCCGTCAATGGCAAAAGGTGCCAAAAGAATTAAACGAGGAGGACCAGCGGAAGCAGCCTTTAGACTTGCGAAACTTTATATTTTCACTTTCTTTTCAATTTCTCATATTGCTCTTCAATTGCTAATACAATTACATTTTGAGAAATGAAGCTTTTTGCACCGAAATGAGAATGAAAAAAAAGAAATGTTTTAACATTAGTGAGACAAAGTTTTGAAAAGAATAGAGATTGAGTTAGGTCAATCAACCTCAATCTCTTCTTCTGATTGACTTCAAATGAAAGAAATATGAAAAAGGAAAGAATTTGTTCAGAGATAGTTCATCAGAATGAACTATGAATCTCTTAGATGAAGGATTCATGAGTATATTGATTCAAATGAATTATAATCACTAAGTTTAGACATGCTAGACAGCAGTCGAATACGATTCTACTTGACATTACAACGAGCAAGGGCAAAACCAATTAACTACAAAGGTGAGGCGCATCAAAAACTAATATTCTCATCATGTTTCAATATCAGATAAAATACAAAATAGTCAGGTGAAAGTTGGTAAGTATCAAACCTCGATTAGAAAAATGAATTTGAAGAGGCTTTCCATTCGTGGAAGAAGAGTATGAAGCTGCGCGCGTATCCTTTTCTAATAACATCTTATTTGAAACTTTAAGACAAGTTGATGGTAGGCGTGATTGACATGATGTCACCAACGTTTTATTCGAGGATAACCGACTTTCCATATTGAAGAAACAGTTTTGTTAAAACAATTAATTGAAAATGGAAGTTGGAAAGCACGAATATCTTGAGTTTCAAAACAGTTCAACTGCCCATTTTTGGCTTTTCCAATCTCGCTTTCGATAGATTCTCCAGCCAAATGCAATTAGTAACGGGTTTCATAAATTAGATGGTTCGCCTCAGATTTTTTTATTAAATGGGTAAGTCAAATATACTTCTAAGTCTATTAGCTTGAGATAATCGAGTAAAAACTGTTTCTCTCATACTATTGGCCTTTCTCGCTTGTCTCTGGGTGTTAAGAAGTGCAAAGGATACGTAGACAGAATTGCAGTCAGATAGCCAAAAAAATCAGAAGACTATGATCACATGGAAAGATAAGGAACAAAAAAGAAAAACTTTTGTGGATTTAAAAAAACTTACAAGTTGATGTAGCCATTTGATATGTGTAATATAAGATAGTGCAAAAGAAATGCCCAATATGTGATGGAATATGAAGAGAACGATCAAACTAAGAAGGTAGAAAGAGAGAGAGAGGGATGACGAAGGAAGAAAGGGGCACGTTACGGAAATGCTAGAGGGGAGACATTTTCTCCAAAGTAAACATACTTAAGCAACTAAATGAAGCGCTCATACATTGAAACCTTGGCTTCTTCATGTGTTGAACTGACTTGGTATGGAAGAATTTCATCAAAGGAAGAAATGTGGGATGAAGGAGAAGAAACTGTTTCGAACCAAAGATTTAGAAATCAGATATTTCATCAAGAAAGTCATTTTTGAGTTGACTTTCATCGGAAAAATTAAATCTTTCAAGAAAAAATGCATTATAAACAATATTGAAAATGGACAAGACTTAAGAGTAAATCCGTACAACTTCGAATGGAAGCGCTTCTAAAACTCTGTTCCTCTCCATTTCTCAACTTCTTCATTCGTCCTCTTTGACTTATTTAGGAATTGATGTCCTAAACTGATGATGAAAACGATAAGAAAGCAAAATCTGCCAAAGTTTCACGCTTGGCCCACAATGAGCAGAGAAATATGGTTTAAGAAGAACAACGCATACATCGAAGAGTTCAAATAAAAATGTGGAGAAACACTGCACGGTAAAGTAACAAGATTTAGATCATGTCCTTTTTAGTATAGCAACACTCACAGAGAAATGAGAAATAACTGAATTAGAGAATAACGGGTGAAAATTCTCGTAAATTGTGAGGGAAAGTTGCTAATGTTAAAGAAGGGTCTTAAAAAGATGAGTAAAAATTTAGAGGAGGATTGGAGAGAAATACATATATATATCAAGAGACATAGAGAGAGAGAGAGAAAGACAGAGAGAGAGATAGATAGATAGAGAGAAGGGGTAACATGAAGAAGAGAGAAGAGAGAATAGATTTTAAAGGGAGAGAGAATGAGATGAAATAGTTCAAAGCGAGAATCTTTCACAAATTGGATAGAATGACCAGGCTGATACATACACACATTTTCCATATTTTTTCTTCTCATCTTGCCACTCTAATAAGCCATCTTATAATTTCACAACTTTCTTATACAACTTATATGAAAAGACAAATTGTTTCATTTTAAAGAGACTCATTTGAAGGGAGTGAGAGAGAGATAGAGAGAGATAGATGTAAGTAGAAGATGAGGAAGAAAAACGGAATGTTTGAATCATCTTTCGTGGTTGACGAATATTATGATCATTTTAAAGAAATTATAATTTAAATTGAGCAGATAAATATTCCGTTTCCGTTATTTGATGAGGAGTTGTTCGTTTTCTTTCTTTGTTTCCGCTTTTTTTCTCGGTGTCGTTCCGCAATGAGAACATGATCAAGAATTTCGATGAAAAGCTCGCAAAATGATTGAAATAAATTAAAACTTTGAATGAAAGTTTATTCTAAATCGTTACCGAGGAGCCTCGTGGGCGCCGACATATCCTTTTGTCTCCTCCTCAGCCGAATTTTGAATCTGAAAAATGAAAAAAAATATAAAAAAAGACAAGAGAAAGCAATACGTATGCATGTTCGTCTGTAAGATGTAATGTAAGAAAGAAACGAAGAATACAGCTTTAAAATCTATATAAGAATAAATAAAAAAAATATTTGGAAAAATAGATTGAAGTATATCTCATATCATAGCAATGTGAGTGGCTGTGAAGAAGCTTTCGGAATTGAAAATTTGAATGGAAAATTCACGAACATAAAAGCTCAGATCTGAGTGAACGATTGAAAGATTAGTCGAAAAATAAATAAGTTTTATATTCAGATATGTTTTATAAAAATAAATGATAGATAGAAATTATATATGTTGAAAAGAAGAAAAAAATGGGAAAAAAAGAAAAAGAAGAAGGAAAAGGAAAAGCTCAGGTTGGCTTGAGTTGAAACAAGAAGTTATTGAATTTCTTTACTCATTTTAACTTCTTTCATTCATCAATAATCACAGTCGACTGAACTTGAAACCTGCTTAAACATATTTTACTTTTGAATTCGATTGAGGAAGGAACGTGTGTGTTTCAAAGGCAATCCTATTATCTTCAACTTGAGCATTGGCAATAGGTTCAAAAAAAATATTAAAAGAATCATGCTTACCTTCATCTATAGGCAGTTGAAAATGAAAAAAAATGAAAAGAATAATACTAAAAAAGAATATTTGAAACGAAAAAACGTAATGAGACACCTTATTGTGATAGAAAGACAATAAATTATAAATGAAGAGAGAAATGTTTGAAGTATTTCTTCATATATCGTTCATTCTTTTCTTATTTCATTTGTTTCTATGAGAAATTAATTTTTTTTTTCGCTTTCTGTATATTTGAGATTGAATATATGACTAATTGCGTTCCAATGAAATGCTGTTCATATGATATCTTTTGTGACCCTTCAACAGCATGAATGAAGCTGCTTCTCCAAAAATGCACAACTGCGATTACGTTCATGAAACTTCTTTTCTTACCTCTTTCTATATTAATAACAACAACAAAAATAAAGTATATAATGGGCCAAAGAAATTTCATGCGAACGCGCAACAGGCAAGCAATGAGATAAGAAGGTAGGAGAGAAAGAGAGAAAGAAGAGTACAACCGTTCTAAGTGAGCATGAGTTCAACGAATAAAACTTTTCACGCAAACTCACGTGACATTACATGCCAACACGTGTATCTGCAATCTCAGATTATAAATGGAAAACAACTTTTCAACCAAACTTTCATCACAATCTCAGCAAAAACATCGGAAAGCTAAGATTTTTTTTTAGTAAAGAGCTAAGAGAAAGATAAAAAAGACAGAATGACAAGCTTGAAGACCTTTCAGAAGAAAAAAAAACAAAACAAAACAAAAAAGTCATTCGAGAGTGGAAATCTTTCAAATGCTCCGTTTTGAAATGGGTAAGACGAATTTTCAGCTACTTTTTTGCTCTGTGCTATTCAATTGTTAAGGCTATTGCAGAGAAAATGTAAGTGAAAGAAACTAATAACTGGATGTTGTTAGCAAGTTAAGATGAGGTGAAACAGGAGGATATGGCTGGTTTCCTATCTGGTAAAGGCAATTTGTCGATGAAGCCTAATCCTTCGATGGGTTTTTCTCTCTCTCTTTGCTCTCCCTTCCTGACTTCATCTTTCTTCTCTCCTTTCTCACTCCTTCTCTCATCATCTTGTTCTTGGTTTTTACGTCTTCAAGAATAAATTGTGGAGTATATATGGTGTAGACGAAGCTTGTCGACCTTGCCGTTCATCATCTCTAGCAGCTACTTCTTGCTATCAAAGTAGATGAAGAAAGGAAACGAGAACCTAAGAGAAAATGAAAAGAAGGAAAGGATAAAGAAAGGAAATACATGGTTGTGAATGCTAAATCTTCAGCAGTTCTCCAAGGAATTCACTACCAACTGAACAAGCCTACTTGAATGACGATGGAAGAAGGAAGATGAGATATAGACAACATATCGCTCACGGCGAAATCTGCTCTCTTCCCTTCGCTTTCTCCCTTCGGAACCGGGCCGACAAACGGAGACGGACAGCCGGACATAGTGTACGTAAGAAAGAAGAAACTGACCATATGAATACGATATGAGTTTCCAAAAAAAAATCTGTCTAAGATATATATTTATGCGAATGTAATAAGTATAGTTTCATTCAAGCAGAAAAGGTTATGTGACAGCCATATAATGAAAAATCAGAATGTTAGTTCGAGTTTAAAGCATTACAAGTATTCATAATCTGACGCTTAACTTCAGCAAGCTCTTCCGATGTTAATTGATCGGAAACAATATCAAAGTCTCCATCGTCAATAAAAACCGACGAATTCCCTCGAGTCTAAATGTATGCTACATATGAATATAATGAATTATTAGAACGTACTCCTAAATAGATAATGGGCTCTTTATGGATTGGATCAACGTCAACATCACGAACTCTTCTGATAGTGGGCATGTCATCTTGTTCAGCATCGGAAGTAGAGTTAGACCATTCATTTTCTTCCTGAATCAAATATCATTCTCTCTTATTTCCTCAAAGAAAGTATTCTGTGGAATATTTTGAAATCAAAAAATAAAATTATTTTCATAGTGAATGAAGATAAAAACCAAAATGAAAAAGAACTCTATTTGAGCTTTGAGCTAGTGCTAACCTTGCATATGAGTTTTCTTTTCTGATTTCTTCTATAGATAACCCATGGAGAAACCAAGCATATGACACACAGAAATACAAATTTGCCTTTCATCTATAACAATCAAAGTAATGAATTGTGAATGAAAGTGTTAGTGTATGAACTTTAAACAGAAAATAAAATTCTATTGGAATCTGAACTTACTGCGCTGGTCAAACTGCTTTGAATCTTGTGCGTTTCTTTTTCTTCGTTTTGCTCATTGACGTCGTCATCATCGTTGTCTTGTCTTGCCTGTCATCTCTTCAGTTTACGATGAACAGTACCATTTAATCCCTTAATCGGTATGTTATTAGACGACACAAATGACAACATAGCGAGACATTCACGACAAGAAAAACCCAAAGAAGAATGTACAATAGAGATTTGTCTATTGAAGAAGTGAATTGTCGGCTGTTAACTTCCATCTTCCTCTCTTTTTCTTCTTCTTCTTTTTTTTATTATTACTTCAATAGTATTGTTCGAAGATTTATTCTTTACTTTAATTCTTCCAGTTCCATATAACTTTGTAAGGTATTTTGAGAACATGATGACGACGATGATGAGGATGACGATGATTATGAACAATTGGTAATTTCATCGGATGAAGGTGGTTGTTTACTTGAAAAATAATAAAAAAAACATATTTTTTACCAAATGGAAGTCTTTATCTTCTTTATTGAAGTCTGCAAATAGCAGAACAATAATTATATTTGGGTTTAGTAAATTCTTTGAAAGATTCACACGCATAATATTTGGCAGTTAAGCCACATCCTGAAACTACGTTCTTATAACACTCCATTCCATCTTGTACATATTGGCAAGCCTGAATTATATAATATATGTATAGGAAGGATGGAATTGTTGTTGAGTTGCTTACGTTATCGGAATCAAAAGCAATGTTTTGATAGAACTTGGTGGTGCACGAATCTAAAGCTCCTGATTTGCCCTTATAGATCTTCTGAAGACATGTCCAGTTATCAACAGCAGCTAAAAATATAATGTAACGATTTTGATGAGCAACAACATCAACAATAATGGCTGAAGAGAGCGAAAAAAAACATACGGAAGAAACCTGCTCCGCATTGAAATCGAAGCATATTCATGAGGAAAGCATATCGATAAGCTTCTTTAGGCTTATTGTCATGATTGATCAAGAATAATGGATCAAAGCACTCTTCAGATGAAATGGCGTTTTTCATCATGCAGTTCAAGAAATCATCATAAGAACTAAATAGGATTGTATATGAGATGAAGCTTGAAGTCTACTGTATACTTGCATACTCCAATAATTCCTTTCTCAGATTGATGATTTGATCTACCGTTTGCAAAAATATTTTCTACTTGAAGACTAAGCCCTTCAGGATCCAGCCAATTATAAGAATCATCAATTCCCAAAGATTGAGCGAATACATTTTGGCAACTCACAAAGCGGTCCACATCACACTGAGCAGTAGCTTGACATGTTAGCGCTTAAAACAAAACATATTGTCCCCAAGACTATATCTATAAAGGGTGAGATTGGCCAAATGCTTGAGGTCAAATAATAAAAAAAAAGTAATTGGATTACCTAAGAGTAGCAAGACGGACAGTGTTTTAGAAACCATCTTGTCTATGAAGAGCCTTTCAATAAAGCTTTTATAATCAAACTAATTATCGGACATCACGCCCTTATCATAATCCGATTAATCAATTCCTTAGTTTCAGTGCTGTGAAAGAATGTTTCTCAACAAGCATTTTCAGGAAATAGGTAAGAATATAACAATGGAAAAAAATATTTATCTTCCTTATAATATAAATTCATTTTTTCTCTATTGAACGATACAACGAAGTCCATAACAGGATTGGTCGAATGTGGTGCGGAAGTTTTCACATCCATAGAAGCCAGCCTATGTTTGTTACATTGTACTGGTGGAATTCTTTTCTCAAAACTTACATCTTTTCCGTTACATTTACTACTATAAACATTATACAAGCAACGTCCGGTAGAGTCAACAGTTCTATAATCATATAGATGAGCTTAGGTTTTCCCCCAACTGTACTTACGAGCAGAGAGAGGCTGGGTTGATGGTCTCGTTGAAGGCGTTAATGCAATCTTTGTATTTTTGACTCTCAGGGATACCGCTCAAACAGTCGAAAGCGTTTACGACTTCTATAATATAGCTATTGATTTGAAAATAGATGAACATCAAACGAGACCTTCAAATCCAGAGTTGCAAAGGAACTCTAGTCCCATGTATGTTCTCACGTAGTCATATCCTTGATACACAGTTAAATGAGGAAATGACTCAATACAAACCATTTTGATAAGTGACTCCATTACGTCCAACAACACTATAAAGACTCAAACAGCTGTAATAGGTGGTTCCAAGGCAAAGATAGAACTGAGTTCTTTGACTAAAATGCATATTATGAAATATGGCTCATGCTAACCAATTAGTTACTCGCAAATTTGAAGAATTTCAGTGAGATTTCCATTGAGAAGAGAGTTGACTGTGTTGTAGAAGGCAGTTCCTGATTTGTAGTTGAAGCTTGTATCAATTTGAGCTCCACTGTTGAATGAATACTTAATATAAACTAACTTTTAAAAGATTATTGTCTTAGTCTTACCTGACAATGGTTGAGCAAGCTGTCAGTGCAGGGAGTGATGGCAGCCTTCAGAATATCAATTTCAACACATATTCAACTTCAAATATAATTCGACTCACGTTTGAAGTAGCAATTTTAGAATTTTGAGCCAAAAGACCAATTAGGGCATCAGATAATTGAACATTTGGAATTAATTGGGCGCTCGCAATAGCACAAAGCGTCAAGCAAAGTAAAGCTCTCATACTGTAACAACAACAAGTTTACTAAATGATATAAGCATAGTCTCCTAATACGATGAAGTGTTTAAAATAGAAGATGAAAAAAAAGGAGAAATTTTCTTTTTCATTATTAGAGAGTATCATATGAAACAAATGACGATTTTCTATTCTTTCTAATAGAATTATCTTTATGGATCGTTTATCAGATGCTCGTAAAACTGCAGTACATCAATTCATCATACTATAGTTATTATTAATAAAATATTCTTGAATATTATATGCTTTAAACATTTTTTATTTTATAGCTAATGAACAAAATTTTCATTTTTATCAAATTCATCCAATTGAAGGATGTTTACTTCCGGGATTGGTGCCCATCTGACAGCTTCTTCAGCATTTCTCTTTTCTCTGTAATCTCGTTGATTTTTTCAATCATTTCTAATCAATTTACGAACTTGAATAAGAGTTGAAAATTGATTGAAGATAGTCCAGTTTAGGCTTTTGAGCTGCAGCCTGGGCAGACTTAGATGCGGCAAGAACGGTGCAGACGTTTTGAGGGCAGTACTCGTCAAGGCTCATTCCAACACGAGTGCGCTCGCATTGCCACCAGGATACCTAAACTCAAAACTGTTGAAAGTTATAGTTTTAGTAAAAAACCTCTTGATTACAAGCAGTTCCAAAGTATGTTCTTGTGCATTGTTCGTAATGGGCGGAAGCTACGCAGAAGTCAACTTTCTATAGACAGATTGATAGAAAAGATGTTCTGTAATGCTCACCTGAGCAATATCATTATTGAACTTCTGTGTGCAAGCGGCTAATTCATTGGCACTCAAAATCCAGACTGTTCCGATACATCTATCATTTTGAGACATTTCTTCAAGTAATTGTTATATGATAAGGAATATGCGGGACGACTAACGTAAAAATCCTCCATCACAATCGAATTCCATTTTCTTGAACAATTGAACGAAAAGATTAGCATTATCTTGAGTTTGTCCGGCATTAATGAATTGTGGCTGTCAAAGAAACCTTTTAGAAGTCTTCAAGTAATTATAAATTTTTACCACATTCATGCAAGCATCATACATGGTTCCAAGACAGTATTGGTACTGTTGTCTAGCTTTACAAGCGGTCAGAAGACCATCCATACCCTAAATTAGACAATATCATAAAAATGGAAAAATAAAATAAAACCAACATCCAAATAAAGTAATCCGACAGCATTGTTCAACTTCTGAGGATCTTCCCAGATAGCGTTAGTACTGTTGATAGCTGCAGCATATGCACTCTATGATGGAATATATGAATATATGACAGATAGAATAAGATTCTATCTTACTTGACAATATCTCAAGTTAGCAGTAATACATGTAGAATAGTCGGCGTTCAAGTTCATATATGTAGATGGCACTGACACCAAGTTCATTGGATCAGCCCATGCGACACCTTTAATTTCGTATTTTCAGTTTTCGGTTAATGATGATCGACTCACCGCATAGAAGCAATAAATGTAAAAAAATCATTTGGAATTTTTACTGCTGAACTCAATATAAATTAAAGACGAAGTAACTGAAATTATCAGCTACTTATGTATATATCAGGTTGATAAGACGAAATATAAGTAGCCGCCCTTAATCTCTTGTGAATCAGATTTAATCATAATAATTGCATATTGGATTTGTTTGAGAACAAAGTAAAAGGGCGTTTTCAGAGATAATCTATAGTCAGTGTTCGATAGTAGCTGGATTGATCATGATCACACAAAGATCATTCGATTCTTTGACAGACCTCACGTCATTATGGACACTCCTTTATTTATACGAATAAATTAATAATTAAAAGGTTAGGCATATGATAACCAGAGATTGATATCATTTCTATTTGGTGATGTTTTCCTTTTGAAATGAAATCTTCAAAGTTATCTTTATACATGTATGTCTGTTCATCTTCACCGTTTTGTTATTTCCGATTGTTTGTGTGATCATTGAGAACTTTAATTTCTAGATAATCAGGACAGTTTCATGTGAAGTTTTATGAAAGAACCATCTGAAGGTTCAGAATATATAAAAGATATCTGACAAGAAATGTTTTCTCAGTTGATGTAAGAAAAGTGAATATTACTTTAATGGATATGCAAACAGTTATTATAAGAAAACGGGTAATGAAATGAGAACTGGGACAGAATTAGGTTAACTATATAAGAAGAATGATATGTAAACTTATCTACAAAACTGTTCTTCTCCAATTGACTCTTGATTATGAATTGGATATTTGGTCTTATAGCATTTGTAAGTTTTAACTTTTCATTTTAATATTATATTCATTATGACTTTATAGTCTTCTTTTATATTTATAACAAGAGCAGAAGAAGAGGTTAGTTGTGGACCTAATGAAATCTTCTCTTGCGTTCGTTACTGTAAGAGGACATGCTTAGATGTAGGAAAGAAGCAGTGTGCAGAGGTTTGCTTGAAAATTCAATAAGACAGAAAAGTTGTTTCATTTAATCCTAGGTGCCAGAATGTCGAAGGAAGACTTGTCATTGTAAGGATGGTTTCTATTTGAATGATGCGAAACAATGCGTTCGTAAAGAAGAATGTCCATGTATGTCTTGAAGAATTGGAAACGTCTTAGAAGTCGGTTTTTGTTTCAGCCATCAGCGTCAAAGGTGTGCTTCCTAGCGCAGATTCAGCAGCCGCTCGTGTTGCCAACGCTGTCCAATCGGTGAGAAAAATTGTCTGATTTTTGTAATCTTGCTTTGTCAGGTTATATGCCTGTTCGAGCGTTGTGAAACGACAACAGTAGCTCCTACAACCGTAGTGGTTCCATCGTCTCCTTCAAGTAAGTGAATAAATAAAACGTTGAGAGCATAAATAGTTTACAGGGTTTGTTTACACCGGATGTGGTGCTAATCAGGATAGAGTTGCTTGTGGAACCCCTTGTGAGCGCACTTGCGTGAATCCTAACCCTGTATGTTTGATTTGTTCAAGTTCAGTATTAATGATATATCCTATGTTGTTTCTAGGTGTGTTCTCAGTCAGCCTGCCTCGTTAGTGTTTGTCAATGTAAATCTGGATTCTACAGAGATGGAAATCGTTGTATTAAACCGTAAAAGCATCAGCTTTTTGAGACATAACTTTTATAATTTTGTAGTAGCGAATGTCCACAAGCTGCTTACACGACCACAGCTGCACCTGCTGCTGCCAGCGCTTACAGTCCTACTCCTCGTTTGAGACCATACGTAGGCGATTATAGGCCATATTATGGAATGGTTACGAACTACAAAAGTGAACAAATCTAGAAAGAGGAATTGAGTTTCAAAAAAAGTCTTTTAGTTTGTCCTGCAACTGAAATATATGCTGTCTGTATCCCTTGCGAAAGAGCGTGTGATTCTACTAATTGGGTAAAGAATTTTCAATGAACAAGTTCTACTGTTTTTTAGCTCTGCCATGATTACTGTGTGGATGGCTGCACATGTGATCAAGTACGAGGATACTACTACCGAGATCGATCAACTGGTAAATGTGTTAATCGTTGTCCGGCTTATAACACATATAGTTACAACTACTGGTAAACCATACAAATTAGTATACAAACAATATGTTCTAACTATACAGGGTGTACCAACCTGCTGCTGCTTATTATGCAACTTATTACCCAGTACCTCGCCGAATGGGGTAGATATAGGCTTTTTCATATTAATTAATTTGTTAAATATTTTGTTTAAGAGATCTAGTTGAAACATTCGTTGATCCTTCTGATTTCGAAGATGACAATGCATTCAAAAGAAAAGCAAAAAGAAAGTGAGAAAGAGAAGAAATCCCAAAACAATATCAACTCTATCAATAAAGATCAACTTTTATTTTATTTTCACCATAGCAAAGAATTAACACTAAGTGCCCTCAACCAACACGCATGGTTGTTGGATGTAGCATTGTGTGAAGATGGTTCAACGATGATTACCATAAATCAGTTGTTTATGTAATGTTGCTCAAGATAATAAGGATAAACTATGAAAAACATATTAACAAGTGTATATTCATGAATAATATAAAGAGGCGGAGGCAAGCGTACTGGCCGATGACACTTGTTGACGCATATTCATTTCTCTCTACATCACGACAGAGATCGAAAGTATTACAAACTTGCCATTCCGCCGTCAGTTTATATAGACCAAAGAGTGAACGCTCATTCAATCATTTACTGATGTCTCAACCAGGTAAAGTTGGCATTACTTTCTGTTAATATTTATTTCACTTCAAGCTTCGATTCTCCAACCAACTTTAGACGCCTACCAGAAGGCCTTAAACTCTGGAGTTCACGAAGAGGTATGTTATCCTCCTAAACACATCCATCCATAGTTTTCTCACTCAGGCTTTATCGTTCTATCATCCTGAAGCTGTTGTTGTTCACAGAGGCAAGCAAGCCACCTATGGAAGAGATAACTTACTCGCTTTGTTCGCAACCTTCGGAGAAATGATGGGGAAGAACCATTCAACAGTAAGTCTAGTGTTCCACCTGCTTTATGCTCATAGACCACCTAGATCAGCGACGCAGTTTTTGAAGGATCCGAGAACTACATTACAATCACAGCTAAGTATACGACTGAAACTGAAAAGTTGGGGACAGTTAAGGTTAGTTATTCAGTAAAGTTTAGTTCTAAATCGACGAATTGAAGGGCAACTACTCCCAAGTCTGGAAGAAGGAAGATGGCAAATGGCTCGTCATCTATGATATTTATGACGACAACTTGTAAATCAAAACTGATTTTTGATATAAACCAACGGTATAGATACATTATGAACTATGTATGTTTTGTCTTGACAAAACAAGAAAAGTGTAGATAAATATTTGAAAATGATTTCTGATTTCAATAAACCTTATGAAACTCAAACAGTCTTGTAAACTTTCTCAGACGTGATGGGTATATTCATTAGAAAATATAGGTTAGAAAGATAGAGCTATACTTTGCTTCTTGTTCTCTGAAGAAGATCAAGCACAATAATGACATGAGAAAGTTAGATACAAGCTGAACTCTGTTCCAGTCTGAAAATTTATGGAAAGGAACCAAAAACTGAAATATTATCATTATGAATTTTTTTTTGCAACTCAGAAACATAGCACATGATACAACATGATATTGTTATTTGTGAAATGAATTACTGCAAGGTCAGAACCTATGAACCTGTTCCTTCAAAGCTTCTTTTCCTTCAAAAATACAAAATGTTTCTTTAATTTTTCTGTCTGCGATCATCTATATAGTTAAACTACACATTGCTACACAGCACACTGCATACATCTGTAGTCTAAAGAACAAATAAATAGGAAATGATGTACTGATCAGATAAGAACGAAAAAAAAGTTTTTTTTCTTCCCATTTTTCATATATCAACATATGATAATACGGCCGATTTACATTGATTATTTGTATCTTTGTGGTATCTGTGTGGTCACCGTATAAAATAGCTCAAAGTTGTACATTCTCGATTGCTATATAAGGCGGTGCGTGAGAACGTTGTTCACGCACCGACTTCATCTTTCCCATTCCTCGTTAGTATTCTTATATTAGGAGTATGTTTAATAAACATATTGTTTTTCCTATCTACAATCCTTGGCTTATAAAGTTTAAAGCATTTGATGAGCTACGTTCTCTCTCTATTTCTCTGTTGTTTAAACAATTTTTTAATTTTTCATTTTTTTCAAAGCACACATGTATTTCAAGAAAGTGATATGAGAGGCTCTCACAGCCTTTCGACTTTAACTTTCAACACGTTGACGTTTGAGTTCAATTTTCTCTTAATTGTGATTGTTTCGAATGTTTCTCAGAATAGAACGCAAACTCTTTTTTTTGTTAAGTAAAGAGAACTTCAACGCAAATAGAAGTTACATATTTCAGGAAGAAGTTTCTCACAAAATATACATTAAACGAATTATGTCTTCTCCAGGTAACGTTATCAACAACCAATGTTGAACTGAATAAACTGTTTCAGCTACTGTTCTTGAACCAACTATCCACCTCTTCGATGAAGCTTTCAACAACTGTGCTTACAATGATGTCAGTTGCTATACTGATGTACATAAAAATATTATTCTGATTTCTTCCAGGTTGTAGACTTTTACCACCCTGATGCCGTTCTAGTCCAAAAAGGCAAGGAAGCTACTTATGGAAAAGACAACATGCTTGCTTTCTACAAAGGCTTCGGAGATATGATTGGAAAGAGTGATACAACCGTATGTTTCTTAAGCACGATTCATTTTCAATAATATAGTTTCAGATTACTGACAAGACTTTTGAAGGATCTGAGAATTACATCACATACGGTGGCAAATTCGTGACTGAGACTGAAAAATTAGGAACAATGAAGGTTTGATGGCATTCATCTCCTTCAAAATAAAAGATATATTTTTCAAGGGATGGTTCTCTCAAGTTTGGAAGAAGGAGGGAGGCAAGTGGCTCGTCATTTACGATATCTTTGGTACCGAATAAGAATATTCTCCAATACTTATGATAGTGAATAAATTTCTCTTTTCTAAACTATGTTGTTACAATTATTCTCATTAATGAGTACATAAGTTATGAATATACAGCTGAGCTCAAAAAAACTGAGAAGCAAGCATCAACCTAAACAATAAAAGCCCATTAACTACTCTTATGAGCCTAATGTAACACCAACCGATGAACGCATCTGCAATCTTAAAAATGAAAAGTTTTCTTTCACAATTATCTTCACGTGAAAAATACGTGAGATTCACGTACTTCACGTAGTCTATCTATATATATTCAAATTAGATGATGATGAAATAACAAAGATTATTGTTACTTCACAATGCAACGTCCTTTGTTGAGTTTCACCTTTCCCTTTTCTCATTCTTCCTCTTGGTTGACCCAATTGTATTTCATATTGGCAAATTTCCTAGACGAATATAACCTTCATGAAACAGATAAAATACTCCAATGTATATGAAAACAATAATTTATATGTTTCATTATAGAAAAATGAACATTTTCAGTTTTGAGATGAAACTGAGAAGATGTTCAATGAGAATGATATGGGAGAAAGATCCTATGATGCATCACATTCCTTCTTTGTCGGAAGCAGGTGCAGAAAATAAATAAATTTCGAATAAAATGAAGAAAAATGAAAGAATAAACTAGAGAGCAATAGCTGTGAATGATTACATAGCTAACATCTGATATGAGAAACTGAATGGTATGAAAGGCAATGATAAACATGTGTATGTGCTTCTTCCCATATTCAATTAGTTTTTGTATCAATCTCAAGGTTATCGTTATGATTCATAATGTTTATTTAAGACAAACAGATTCACAGTACCATACAATTTAAAAATTTTTTTTAAAATCTTAAATAACAATTGAAATAAGATATAAGATTCAAGTCAAAGTTTTTCGAGACCCATCATATTCCTGATAATTTGGAATATTCAAAGAGAGAGAGATATATAGAACTTGAGAATTAATGAGAGAGGGGGAAAGAAAGAAAATTGTAGAGAGAAGAAAGCTTTTATTATTTTTATATAAGAAAAAGAGCAAAATCAGTATATTAGGAGCTTACACGCATGTTTCGCTCTTCCGACGAATTCTGGATGGCATGAAGTCGGATGAGGGGAACGCGGCTCCTCTTGGATAGCTTTGAAAATAAATTAGATATTTATTTTGAAGCAGTTCTTACCTCACTCCTCCCAACTCTGGCATGCTTTCAGCCACTTGCCTATCATATTCCTCTTGCTTGGAATACCTTGTAGGTTGTGGAGTCTGCATGGGGTACATCATTGGATCGAATTCCATTGATCTCAAATATTATCTATACTATAGCTTTCAGCTTTGTTTCATACCTCCCAACATTAGTGACATTAGTGCGTGAACTTCTTTGAATGCTGTAGTGATCTGAGAGATCCTTACCTCCAGCGAATGAGAAGTAGGTTGACAACATGGCAATTAGGAACGAGATGAAATGGCAGAAGCAAGCAGCCATTTGTAAGAAAAATGCAATTCCAACTCTTTGCTAGAAAATTTTGAATAATTGATCTTCAAGTTGATTGTTCCCAACCTCATAGGTACCAACGATTCCTTTAATGAATCGATTATCAGCTCTGTGAGAGTAAAAGAAGAAGATTCCTTCAGCTACTGATGACAAGAAGGCTAAAAACAAAAGAAAAATAGTTGATAGCTTCAAATGTGATACTCACTTGTGATGAGAAGAATGGCTGTGAAAACTAAAGTCAAAGAACCATAGCAACAAGAGCAAATTCCCAAACAAGTTGATAAGAATGATGTCACTAAGGCTAATGCAAGTAGGATTAGAGTGACTGTATGCCATCCTTAATTAGAATTAAAAATTATAATTTAATCTCACTCAAAATCCAAACCATAAAACTTGTGTCGGTTAACTTCACCAACTGGACTGTTATCGTCTTCGATATCAAAAGTTCCAGAATATTTGTCATAATCGAATTTATAAACACAATGAAGAGGTTCAGATACAGTCGCATATCTATATATGAATAATACATAAGAAATAAGGAGTTATGAGATATTACCTTTGAAGAATATGATTTCCATCTCTACTATGCCTAGTACAATCTAACCATAGACCATGCTCGTGTATGGAGCTGTATTCTCGTAAATTAACAACCTGTAACATAAAGAATGAATTGAGATTCTAGTTATAAATATATTATTGTTTTTTCTTTCCTTCATTTTTTTCATTTCGACTACCTGTTTGGTTAAAATCGATTAGTCGGTCAAATCGAAAGCCCTTATATGTTCAATGGGTGAGTAGACAGAAAAGGAAGGTTTTCGAGGTCAAATTTGAATACGAATTTGAACGGAAAGAATACAAACCTGCCAACTTGGAGTTAGAATGGCTCCTATACTAAGTCCCATACCAATTAGAGACATTAATATTGCCCCTGTGAGGCATCCCTTCCGTGCAAAATCGGACGAACTTTCCATTCGTCTCTGAAGTACGATATTGAATTGTCATTATTAAAGATATTTTCAATCATATTTTTGTGAAATAAATGATAAAGAAAGTCTTTCAAACGTACATTATGTATCATTTTTACTATTTTGACAACTTGAAAGTTACAGAAGACGTTAGTTCAGATGAGGGGAACGAATCAAAGAAGTAAACGAGGCAGACGAGACAGCCGAATTGCTACTGTATGAGACGAAACACGTAGCGCTTGCAGAATCGAGAGAGAGAAAAAGTGAGAGAGAGAGATAGAGAGAGAAAACAAGATGAAGAGAAAAAGAGAATATATGAGGACATGCCGCACATATAAATTCAATATGTTGGGTCGTATGAGTCATATGTGTTATAAGAACATGGTAATATATAGTAACAAACAAAGTAGATCTCAGAAAATCTGGTTGAAATGCATCTATCTCGACATAGCTCGTTCAGGAAAAAAGAGGGATAGCGATTTCATGTATAAGGTTTTAGACTGGCAAACTTGTAACAGTTCAATATAGCAACGAGCGAAAGAATCTCAAGCAATAACTCAGAAAAAAAGAAAATAATGGTAGCTAACGTCTAATGATTATCGAAAAGGGTGATTGTTCCAGAAATCAACTAAGGAAATATCTTAATTTTGGACAAAATTTCCTTGAGACTTCTATTTTCTAAGTGACAAGGGAGAAAAATGAAATATTACAGGCTCGAAATCAATGAGAATATGGCTGTAGAAAAGAAAACGGCATCATTAACGGTTCTCTTTTCAGGGTTTAGTCAAGGACACCTGAAAAGGAGATTAAACGAGGAATCGGTTTACGATTTCATTGGATTTTCAAAGAAAACAAAATACTTTTAATCCATATTCCTAAGTGGAACGTATTCACTCAGTCTCTTCCTTTTGTGAACTTTTAATTAACGAAATACACCGAAAGAGAACTAAATGCTTTTTCTTTGTTGCAGCAAAATTTCTGTTACATTCCACCAGTTGACCAGTCAGTCAGTCAATCAGATACCGTAATCGAAGCAAGGAGGCAAATTATGTAAATGGTCAAAAATGCTATTAAAGAACAAAAAATGGCTGGCTGACTGACATAGACGAATCGGAACATAAGTGTTCGTTGGCCAAAAAAAAAATTTGAAAGAAAAGAAAAAGATGAGCAAATGAAGCGTCTAAGATAGGATATGCAGGTGGGGGGCATGGACGTGAAAGGAAATGTTTTTCGTACAAAATGATCATTTTCTCGTTCTTGAGGCTTTTAGTATTTGACAACAAGGGCAAAAAGTCAATGGTAATCAATGAAGTAAAAATAAAATGAGAAAGCAGGTTTTTGGCCTGTAAACGCGTTCAGAAGCATCTTCCACATTCCTTTATGACGGTAAAGAAGAATAGATGAATAGATTTAGAGGAATAAAGATGAATAAGGGAAGAAAACGAAGTTTATGACAATTTAATGTCCATTTCAGGCAAAGTTGGACATGAGAACGGAAGGTTTTGACCTCTCCAAAACGACTTTGGTGAATCCATATGATGATAGGTCAATTCATTAATGAGTCTGTTCTTTTCGTTGTCTGTCATCGAAGGTATAACAGCAGGTAGATATTACTTCATCAAATCAACATTATATATAATTGAAGAAGGCATAATGAAGAAGATAAAGCATTTATATATTTAAAGAATGACTGAGAGTTAAACATACCACAGGTTGACGAGGATCATACAGATAGATAGTATTCATTATATATATTTATGTATATACGAATATACTCTTTATGAGCCTTTTATAGTTAAAAATCTTTTTATTTAATGAATTGAAATTGAAGAAGACGAAGACAACAGTTACATACTGCATTATCGTAGGAATACCATTTTTGTTCACAAAATCATGTCAAATTCATTAAGATTTTAAGAAAAATAAGTTAGGCTTATAGACGAAATAGAGAAATGGTCGATATTGGCCAAACCCAAATGAACGAATATACTGAATCGACTCTCTCTTTAGGTACTTACATTCATATACTCTACCTCACTTTCTATTCAATAGAGCATTTCCGGAAAAGAGATTTATGTGAAACTAGCTGATGTCTAACTAGTATTCATATGGCTATTGTCATAAATTGGTCAGTTTGATATGTTTTCTTTAAAAATTCAAGTTTCCAAAGCAGATTATTCAGAAATTAACACAAAAATGAAACTTTGAAGGTTCATTTTGAAGTAGAATGTTACATGTTGTTTTCGATAGGTTGAGAAAAAAAACCTTTTTTAACCAAGAAAAAAACGATTCTCAACAATGTGCTTATAGGGCAAACAGGTAAAACGTAAGAATAAAGTGTGAAAGTCCTTATAAACAATCTTGGGAGTCGTGGAAAAAGAAGATAGATAGAATTAGAGAATATGAAAGGTGACAAATACGAAAAGATAGAAGACAGATGAAATCATCAATGAACTCAGCAGGAGGGGGAGAATCTTCAAATTCTTTGTGGAATGGAATTAAATCTTTAAATGAATGAATGAAGATAAACATGGTTGAAACTTATAGCAATTGATCAGAAGACCATATCCAATGATGATTTGATTGAAAAGAAATGATTTCAGGTGAATGAGAAAAAGGACTTTATCTCCAACTAGGAATCGGTGTCATGCTTCATGAGGCGGATCTTAAGATTACTGTTTCAGATTAGAGGCAATGATGAGGAAAAAGCGGAGTTAAATAACTTCTATTCAAATGCAAGTGTAACTTTCAAGGAATTTTAGATATAATTAAAAAATGTAAAATAAAATAAAACTGAATAATTGGTTAAAACAGTCAGAGCGTCTGCTCTACACGGAGATCAAACAGAGTGAATAACGAAGTGTGAGGTGATGTTTTCACAAAGATATTGTAAAAAGGAGGGAGGTTCTCTGTATACTATACAATTAAGGGTAAAATTAGAATGAAGGACACCTTGATTTGCATGCGATTGGCCTTGGTAGAGACGATGATTTCTCTGCCATCTAGATAAGAAGACTCAGATGGATTGTCCTCAACCATCCCCAGTAGATCTTCAACGTAAACAACACATGGATAAGTCTTGAAGTGAGGAAATTCTTAAAAATAAACGAACGGACTAACTCACTATGAGGACAAAGACAAAGTTGGGCAGTCGAAGCGTCGACCAAATTATGTTAATTGATGTTCATAATTATTCTGAAAACTCAAAGACCTACAAAACGATTAGTTCTTTATAGAATATTAAATGTTCCAATTACAGTGTAACTGTCTCAAACACACAGGCAGACAGAGGTGTCTTTGCAACTATGATAATTCGGTTAGAGAGCTGTAATAACTGTAGAAAAAGGTTACATTTATCAAGGCGTTTAAAGATTTCAATCTTCTCAGCAAACATTATTTTCGAAGAAGTTTCCGTTTTGACAGTTCAAAAGCCATTCAATCTAAAACCAAGTTGTGAACAGGGCTGACTGATCATAAGAGTCATAGAGAAGAGAA